TGATTTGCGTAAGACCGATTGACACTGATTGTTCGATAGAGAAACGGTAAGGTCGCCAACATTATAAGACTGAATTTCCCTCTTTTTAGTATAATAGCACTGTTTTTGTCCAGTACGATACGCAAAACCGTTTCGTACTGGCCTTGGTACAAACTCAAAGTAGAAAAAGTGAAGTTTGACTCGAAATATTTCTTTATTTCGTAAAAGAGGCCGTGTTTGTTGTCGTAAACGTGAAATAATTGAAGAAAAGTGTAATGTACTATATTCGCGCTCAGAATGTGTGGCATGAAGAGCGGCTCGCTCTAATTCGGTCCCTTTGATATTAGGCGTCCCCAGCCTAGGCAGGTCAACCCACTAATAATGCGTCGCCCGTTATCTTGATGTGCAGGGCCGTCCAGAGGAGAGAAGTGTAATAGTTTAATTGGATCCGGTGAATGGGGCCGCATAGGCCCGTCTGTCATGCCACCAGCTCTTCTCGATAGCGGACTGAGTGGCTTGTCTTAAACGGTGGTGCCCTCGGGGATTATACGTTATATCGCCCTAGACCGCCGCACCACGTCCTACACCTTACATTTTCACTTTGCAGTATATCGTCTTAATAGGTTAACGGGATCACATCCCGAATATGGGATGGAACACTATCAACTAGCATTCTTAACACACGCACACCATTTTCCTCTTCCTCTTAACTCGGACGATAATTGCCCCCATATCATACGAAGAGTTATACAACCCTTAATACGCGCATACGTTGCGTCGTATTCTAATCACATAAATATATGTCTGTATGCAACCAACTATACCAGTTGAAATGTATCAAAGTGGGGGAAAATTGTATTCTAATAAAACCAAAGTGGCATACGACAAAAAATGGTGGATGCGCCGGGATAATAAAACATTTAATTGGCATAAAAAATCAACGTTGTCAATCACTATATTCATAAAGCTGAGAACCATTTAAGAATATAATATACATTAGTATCTTTTGTTACATTTCTCTCTTCTGATAAATATCTGCGTTCTATTGTGTTAACACCACTTAAACTTAAATTAAACAATCATTGTTTTCGCGAATGAATGTAATTTTTAAAGCCTGTAGTTGTTATTAAAGAGTGAATAAATATTAAGAGTAGATTCAAAGTTTCATAAATGAGAAGCTTCATAAAGGTGCTAATCCTCTCCACTGCCTTTATGAACCCCTCGGACAAAATATACAACACTTAATTCGCACGCATACAAATTAAATGACCCGATTGTTCCACAAAATTCCTGCACCAACAAGAATTTAACGCAACGGTCCACCAAAATCAAAAATTCTAAGAATATGTATGTAGTTTTGTGTCCTCACCAGCGTGCAAAAGCCATCACCGCAGGAATGTACGCATCTCACGATTCTCATATTAAAGCATCGTGCAGAATTTGAAAGGCCATTCGCATTCACATTTAAATGAAGTCTGCGACTGCCAAATATATTATCTTTTTGGTGGCGCCCCCTTTTGTCCATTTTAGCGTCGTTGGCGCGTTAATTCTTCTCAAGGACACTCTCAAGGACTGCAACGTGTCGAAATATCGGTTCCGAATCCCCCGAGGTCCCCAACTCCCGCATGCAAGCTAAACGTTGCGTAGGGGCTACTAGATTGAATTTTCTTATTTTATTTTTACACCCTTGCAGCCTCTCTCCACCGCACTACACACCTAGCACAGCGACGGCGTTATCCACAAAGGAATTCGGCGGGTTTAGAGCGAAAGTGAGACGTGGACGACGCCATCGACAATTTGAAACGCTTCAGCGCCTTCATTATTTTATTAGGCGGGTGGAGCGGACGAAATGGGGGTACGTTGTACACACATGGACCCTTCCGGATAGTCGTCGAATGTCTCAGGTGAAAGGGACACTATAAATATACCGAGGCACAAAGAACAAAGCGGACACTATAGTTAGTCGAAAAAGTGGAGCGAAAAATTATTTCAAATTATCTAAAGAGCAAACCAAGTATGCTGTGCAAAGGTTAAAATATAGAAAAATATTTCAATATCTAAACAGGAAACACAAGTAAAATCTCAATATTTTCCAACTGTGTTTGAACAAGTTGAAAGTTTAATCGGTTTTTAAATCGATAAAACTTCGAAAAAGAAAACACATAGCAATTCAAATCAAAAATAAAACTCAATATCATTTTCACTTATCTATCTCAGAGCTGTAAAATCGTTATCAATTTAAAACAACGATTTGGACGCAATGAGCATAAAAAACGAAAAAAACTCGATCGTTAAAATGTAGTTTAATTACACGTCACCAAACAAATCATACAAATTAAAAAAATATATCCTGCGTTAGTCTTGCACTAACATTGGTAAAACTCGATTATAAAATTCTACAAAAATGACACATCAATGAAGACATTTGTAGTTGCAATCATTTTTTAAAATAATAAAAAATGCCCACTAAATATTCATAATTCATAAAATAAACAACCGTAAGAATATAAAATTAACAAAATTCAAATAAAAATAATAAATATAAATTAATAAAATAAATAAAATTTTATTCAATCCTCTATGTTAAAATTGAATTTTATCTACTCTTTTCTTTATGTTAAAATGAAATTTTATCGTCTAGATGATAAAAAAATACATCCATTGTTGTATATCTGCGGTTGTTAGTTGCTAACGATCTTTGACATTAGATTTCATTGTTGAATTTTACTTTGACATTTATAAATATCGACTAAATTGACTACAAAATTAGTGAGGATTGAATAAAATTTTATATTGTACACGACGAAAAAATTTTCATTATCTCTCCTGTGACTGACCCTGTATAATAAATAACTATAAAATAAATTCAAAACTTAGGGCCTAGCTCGAATTTTAGAGTTAAGCAATCAAAGAACAGAGAAAATGAAAATTAAGACTTTATCTGCTGTTATTTTTGTAAATATAAAAGGTTTATATTAATTGAGAAATGGTTATAGACGATAAAGAAATTGTCTATCTACGAGTGAAAAGGTTAAGTTTACGAGTGACGAAGTCACGAGTGGACTTTTTTCACGAGTAGATAAACAATCTTTATCGTCGAGTATAATATTTCGTTTAATTTTGTACTCACCTACCAGAATTTCTTGAATATAAACAGTAGGTAAAAATTATTTTAATTCATTAGACGATTAAAAACTACTTTATATAATGAAATTAGTTGATAAAATATAAACAGTAGATAAAAATTACTTTATTTCACTAGACGATAAAAGACTACTTTATCTACTTAAATTAGTTGACAAAAGCACTTTTTAACATTGAGTACAAAATAAATACAATTATTATTGATAAGTTGCTTGAGAATATCACGAGATACTCGTATTACCGCAAAAAATAAATAAGAGAAAATTTTAATATTTCAATTTTAAATTACATTTGCTATAACTATACCTACTCGTATTTTCTAAAAACAAACTTTTAAATAATGCCAAATGTGTTTTTACATACAAATCAAACAAAGTTATAGGAAAAATATTTGATTTACATTAAATCACTTTCGAAACAAATGTTTGACTAGCAAACTTTTTTATTCACTTCCTGAATTTATGTTTCTAAGAGTTACACCTGTTAAATATGTTTGTTTTCTTATTACTCGTAAAAATTTTAGCAAAAAAATCTTGACTGGCTTTGGCATACCCAAATTTCTTGCAAATCTTTAAAATCTATTGGTTTTATGCAACCGAAAATACTCGAGCGCAAGATTATTTTATCACACATTTTATCAAGTAGAAACGTGCGAGTGAAAGAACTACTATTCCAAGTAACTCTTTCCACATTTGAAAAAATCTTGAGCAATTTCAGAAAATTTAAATTATCAGTGTTGTGCAGTTTTAAATAACAGTGTTGTTCATGAAAGTTATGCGCTGTTTCCTACGAAAAATGTTTCTATACTAAAATAAATATTTCTAAAGCTTCTCGTTGGTGAAAACAATTTTGTAAAACAGTCAATTCCCATTAATAATTATTTTTTGTAGCTATTTAAAAATTCGATACAAAAGAAAAAATATGCATGAATACAATTATGATTCTAGAATAATCAGTATCGTTATTTATGTACATATTGCATAAAAAATCAATCAATAAATCAAATGTTGAATCAAAAAAATTATCAATAAGTGCTTAGGTGATCAAAACCCTCTTTTTATTTCATTGGACGAGCACATCTTTTCAACAACCATTTCAACCCACAGAATTTATTTACTTGTATAATCAAAACCAATAAAAAATGTTACGACATATCGACATACCACTTATATTTTTATTATTCCAATTTTTTGTTCTCGAAATTAAACACACACATGTCTATTGTTATTTTTATTACTTTACACAATAAAAAAGTAAAATACTAGACTGTCAACTAAATTGACAAAGCAAGACATTCTCTCCTATTTTTCGCTTATATATTTTTTTTCTTATTTGTTCTAAAGTCTCGAAACTCGCCGATCCCTTCTTCCTTATGAATGACTCCGTTCCTTTTCGTCCTGTTAACCCAATAGCAATCCAAGGCGCGCGCGGGGCCGGCACTAAAACACAGTCATAAAAACACACAAACCAATTTAGCCGGTACAGTCTGCTGCCGCCAGCCCCACTGTACCACGGCTATTCCGCAGCAGGAGCACCTCCAAACCTGCACCCCAGATTGGCCGATTTAATTTCGACGGCCCTGCTCGTCAATCTTTGCGATAGTTAATTTAGAAATTGCTATGTTCTCACTTTCGAAATAATCATAAAAGTTAGAAATTAAACCGAGAAAGCGACATGAGACACTCATCGACGACGATGCCCAAATTTTAATTGCTCTCTCTCTCTCTCTTTGCTTAATTAATTATATCGAAAGAATAAATTCCTTATGGTTTAAGGCCGGGGTTTATAGTCCAAGTTTAATATCAGAGACACCTTGCGCGGGCTTATTGTCAATTTTAAAATGAAAAAATCTCAAGACACGACAATAAAACAATAAATATTCGAGAAAATTTTATTTATTTATAATTTACAAATTTGTACTTTTGCTCACTTCTGAGGAGCTGCATAGTGCTTGATAAACCTCGCCGAAGGATCAGTGACTCCTTCGACCCATCTCGGCATCCAATAAAACGGGATAAACTTCTCGGCCGCATGCGGAAAACTCTTTTCGAAAACTTCGCGATAATAAAGCGACTCTTTACTATTAGGAGTACAATGCGGGTACTTCTTTTTCGCAACTTCTAAATCGAACGGTTCGGGCATCCTCTTCTCTACAATTTCCTGCAAAAATTGAAACAGCGATTTTTTCTTAGATGCCACCCCATCACTGAAAGCCTCTTTGTGTCTCCAAAGAATTCGATCTGGCAACACTCCCGTCTTGTCAAACGCCGATCTTATCAAAAACTTCTCAACGCCATCTTTCGGTTGACGCAACTTCGGGTCAAGACTGAGGTAATAGTGAGTAAACTGTAAGTCGAGGAAGGGTAATCGGAGTTCAAGACTACTGGCAGAAGTAGTTCTGTCGCCTCTCAAACCGTCAAAAAGGTAGATCTCTTTAAGGAGACGGATGCTGTCGTCGTGGCCCGCTTGCGGACTTGGAGCATCTCTAAAGTAGATGTAGCCTTGACAAAGCTCATCAGCGCCCTCTCCACTGAAGAGAACTGTAGTGTCAGTGTTCTCCAACACGTATCTCGAAATCAAATACATAGGAATTGACGCCCTAATTGTGGTTATATCGGGAGTTTCGAGAGTATAAATAACGTCATCAAGGACTCGAGCTACGTCTTCTTCGCTGAAAGTGATCACGTGGTGCTCGGTGCCGATAAAGTCGGCCACTTCTTGTGCGGCTATCACATCAGGACTGTCATTCATCCCGATACAAAACGTCTGCAATTATATTATTACATTTTTTTTAAAGATTATCAAAAACTGACTTGAATTTTGTACGGAAGATTCACTTCTTTCGCCGCTCTGACCAGCAGCGAGGCAATAAGAGATGAATCTAATCCCCCTGACAAGAAACAACCAATCCTACGGTTTGCCATTAAACGTTTCTTTACGGCCGTTGTTAACAATTTTCTTATGTTTTCCAAAGGATCGTGTGTAAGCTCCTCGTACAAAACGAAAGGTTGAAAAATTGGTTTGTCTCCAGGCTGATGAAAGGTATGTTTCCGTACTAATTTCACACCTCCTGTCTTTACTAAGTCGTATTCTTCGAAAGTTCCGGGTGTGAAAGGTTTGATTATTTTCTTTTCACCGTTTTCTTCCCTCGCCAAACCGATTATACCTTTGGCTTCTGAGCAAATACCCAACATTCCGTCCGAACTCGTCAGTTTGAATAAGGGACGTACTCCGTATGGATCTCTCCCCAGAAAGACTTTCTGTTTTTCCATATCTATGAGACAGAAAGCGAAAACACCATCCAAATGTTTGACGCAACCTTCAATACCAAGTTTGTGGTAAAGATGAGTGATGCATTCAACATCGCAATAAGTTTCGTATTTGAAACCTTGTTGTTTTTCCAACTAAAAACAATTTTATTGACCAAACTCAACTTTCACATTACTTACTTCTTTGCAATTGTATAACTCGCCGTTGCATATTAGGAGAGTTAAAGGAAACTGGTGAAGTCGCATCGGTTGCATTCCGTAAATACAATCAACTATAGCCAATCGATGAAATGCCACACAACCGTTCTATAAAAAGAATAAAAAAAGACACAAATATTTTATTTTGTGATAAAACCAGACTTTGATAAATAAATGCTTACAGTGACTCGCTTGTCTGTCTCGACACGCGAAGCATCAGGTCCCCGGTGTCTTATTTTCATTACATTGTCGGTACAATCCTTCAGAAGGATATTGCCATTTTGAGGATGAAACAAAGCCCAAATTCCACACACTGAAATTTAAATATTAGCGCCAAAACTATATGAATGGTTCGTAACCAAGAATCAGAAAACTGTTTCACAAAATTAAGTCTTTGCAAATTATGTATGAATCTATGAATAAATTTGACCTTGTAACAATTACTGATCAAATAAGGTGTTTCAATAATTCAAAAACTCGTATCACCTGTTAATTAAAAAATTGCCGGTAAATTAAAATTACAGCTAAAACAATTAAATATTGGGCGGAACAAAATTACCAAAACGTGTTTGTAAAGAAAAATATTGAATTGTGATAAAACAGACACAAAATAATTAAAAAATGCAATTAATATTAAAATCTTTCTTTTATTGCGTCATCTACTTAAATGATTAGGTTTGTGAATAAAAATTCTTACTTGTGTTGTAACCGTCTCTCTGAAACTCGTCCACGTGTTAAACCACTGTTAAAATGTTGAATTTGTCCAAAATCTGCTTTTTTATATAAAAAGCTGGACGAAACATACGTTGTAACCACAACCACAATCACCGTCAACCACGTGTCGCTGCGGTCGCACTTCGAATAAATTCGGATGCTTTCGGTAGCGCAAAATCCGAATATTATTTTTTATTACCTATATAAGTTGCCAAAATAACGATCTACGACCTTGAACCCGTATAAAGTCAACGACTCGACCTGAAAAGTAAATATTTTTCATTAAAATTTCAGAAATCACACAAATAAAAATAAATAATAATTTATCGTAGTACCTAATCGTTTCAAGCCAATTGTAAGGTTTTTCAAGGTTGGCAATACTTCACCGATACTTTTAATTAAATTGTAAAACTGTTTAAACAAATATAAATTTTGACCAAATTGTATTATTATTCCCTTCATTAGCAATCTCTAAATAAGTATTCTAACAAATTAACTTCAAATAAATTTATTTTTTAGAGTTAAAAAATGTTTTTTGATAAATGCAAGGTGTGCTCTGGCCTTTCTGTAAAATTATTCTTTTGTTTTCAATTCTAGAAAAGTCAAGTTTAGTGTTAATTATTGTGATTATTGGTTGAAAATTATCAAAGTTTTTGGTGAAAATGATTGAAAGCGATAATATGGAACGTTTAAATAAAATTTCATCAGTGGTGAGCGAGCGAGACAAAAAAATTTGGGAAAACATGGCATACAGCATAGGTAACAATTGCTTCATCCAAAAATCTTATTTTTTTTACAATTTATTCACATTTTAGCCATAAGAAAGCAGATAGAAAAACTTCAAAATGAGATTTCGCATATAAAAGCAGCTACGGCTGAAAGAAAAAAGAAAAATGATAATTTGGAAAACCAGTTGGAAGAATTGTCGAATACTCTAAAAACGTAAATTTTGCAGATTTAAAATGCATTTTTCTAAAACAATCCAATTTTAGACAAAAACAAACGTTACAAGCGAGTGAGCAGTCTGTTATCTTGCAAAAATATTTAAAAGAAAGTGTAACACAAGAAGCTAACGATTTGAGAAAAAAGTATGCCGAGGCTTTGGAAATGTATAATGACGAACTTAAAGATTATCAAGCTATTTACGAAAATGCGTCCCAAAGTTATAAAGATTTGCGCACTCAACAAATTCGATTGAAAAAACTTGAAATTGAGAAAATGGATCTGAATGTAAAAATTGCAAATTTAGAACGCAAAGAAAAAGAGTTTGGCAAAATTCAGAAACTAATATTCCAAAAAGCGGTGGTCAAATTTGCTAAAATTTACACCCTTTATCACAAAAATGAAAAACTGCGTCTAGAAGTCCAGGCAAAAAAAAAGGTAGAACAGCAATTGTTAAAGGAACATCTTCAGTTGTCAGAAGCAGGTAAACATCTTTTCATTATAAATTTGTTAAAATAAATATTCGAATTTAGTGAAACAAAAGAAGAGGTCGGAACAGAGTAAAACTAAGTCTCAAATTAAGATTGATAACAAACCATCAGAAAATCCAATAGCGGTTAAGGAAAACAGCGAGTCAACATGTGACAATGAATTAAAAAAATTCCTTGAAGAAGAAATCCTTCCTTGCAGCTTGACGTCTATAAATTCACCTAAGAATATATTGAATTTTAGTCAAGACCATTCAAAAGTCAAAATTTTGGACGTAAAACTCATGAGACCTCAAATTTTCAAACCTGCGGTCAAAAAACCCAACTTAGATTTACGTAAAAAGATGCAAGACATAATGGAGACGGCAAAAAAAGACGCACTACGAAATAATTCTTTCCAAATTAATTCAACCAATTCTCTGAACTCGCAAAAAGTCCAAACTAAAACAATCTTCACTCCTCCTGGGTCTCAAAGTTCGCAAACTGGATCCCAACAAAACCAAAAACAAGCGAATCCGTCGTTACAAAAACGTCCAGAAATTCAAAGCAATTCCCAAATTGCTGCACCAACTCCCAAAGTGGAGATGAGTCAGAGCAAAATTATAGTCGAGAAACATTTAACTCCTAAAGAAAGTGTCACCGGTTCGATCTTAAAACCCCCAAGTCAGACATTTTCCGAGAAAAATGAAACTAATGTTCAAAATGTTTCGAAATTTTTTTCTTCAAAGAAAAAGACGGTCACTTTCCAAACAGAATCACCAAAAGAAATAAGCAATTTCCAGTTGTTTGGTGATGAGAGTAAGAAAGCCGAGACTGCAAAAGTCGAAATGAATGTTTTCCGAAATTCTTTCCTTTTCAAAAATGATACTTTTCTGAAACCTGAAGAACTAACTGGGGCTCGAAATTCCGGGGTTGGTAGTAAATTAATACAAAATTTCAACATGTAAATAACAAATTTCTAGAGCGACAATGCTGTAAGTGATCTGACAAACAATGCAAGTTTTACGATGGAAACGGGGCCTACTTTTAGTACCACTGGCGGCGAAAATGCTGACAAAAATCCAGATGGTATAAATTTTATTGTCCATTGAAATAGCAAACTAAGAATTTGTATTTTTTTTTTAGAATTTAGTTTTGATTTGTTAAATGTTTCGACTCGTAAGTTTTCTTTAATTTTGTTTATTCTTGCTAATTACTTTTTCTAGATCGTGGTGGGTTTGGACCCTCTGGTTTAAATACGGAACTTGCCACTGAAATCACCCCTTTTAGTTTTATCGGCTCACAAACAAAATCTAACAATCCATTCAGTTTTTTCTAATTAGTTAACATTTTCTTTATATTTCACACAATTAGTGGTTATTCTTAGATATCTATAGTTTAAGATTCACAAAAAAATCTTGTTCCACTTTTATTATAACACACTTTCTTGTTGTCTCATTAGTTTACAGTTATTCATGTGGTAAACATGTGTACAAAAATCTTCGTGTTTTTTTCAATCCTGATTTTGGTATCAGCTTACCGTGTGACACAACCCCGACCTAGTGTAATAATGTCAGCAATTAGATTCTTCTGGGGTCCTAACAACGGCACTGTTAGTAAATTCCCTCCGATTATAGAATACTTCGTGCAGCGAATACAAAGCCAGAATTCTAATTATATCCACGAAGATCTGAGTCGGCCACCTACTTGGGAGAAACCAATCTATACTTTATCACCCTCAGAGCAATTAACTGCATATCAGCCTCTGGTTACAGAAAGTGTGACCAAAGACATACATCACGAGGATGCGACGACGCAAGAATACGAGTACGAAGAGTTGCCAGACACGACGGAAAAGTTTTTTGAAATCATTACCGGAAACAAGAAGGTAAGTGCAACGAGTTATGATAATTAATCAATTTCGAGTGATCTTGCAATGCAAGAGTTCCGTTATTCGCGGTGACCCGAGCACGCATCGAACGCTTCTTCCTTCGTTTATTTGCTTTTCACCATGGTGGGCTAACGACATATTTAGCATGGCAAACCGGGCTAATGATTTTATAACACTTTTAATCATGAAGTGCTTTGGTTTGGTTATAGTGTCTTTGTGGTGTTTTGGTGCTTTTGGACGGTCCGTTTTTCAATTTTGAAAAAATTCCTCAGTCACAAAAATATTTTAGGTACGTTCCGGCAAGAGATCCGAGACAAGTGGGTATTATCGGAAGTTGGATCCAGTCGTCCGAATGGTTTCCCATTGAAATTAATATCCCCGATACGATTTCGGGTGTTGGGCAAAATGTTGCTAACGTTGGTCAAGGAATCTCCTCCGGATTTATGAATTTCACAAATGGTTTCGGAAATTGGATACAACAGATACCGTTCTTTAATAGGATTACGTCACAATTTGCTCCTAGACCGTTCAAATATTACGTCCTAATGCCAGTTAAAAACGTGGGTGCTATGGCTCCATACAATCCGTTTCAAAATGCTGTTAGTAATTTTATTCCAATGTATCCGTAAAAAAACACATGTGGTGTCAAACACATTTATTTATTTTCTTAAAAATTCATAAATAAATTATAAAAAATTAAAACTAGTCTTTCTACAAATTAAACCACCAAATATCCAGTAGCACTTCTAGAACCAATGGAATGTCCTTGTTGGAGTTGCTGTTCAAAGTTTGCCTTGTTCGTGGCGTAGATGTCTTTTAAGTCGCCTTCGCGTTTCTGTATGGGTCCTCCGTCTTTTTTCACTATGATCCCGACAGGATAGTCGAAACTGTAAAAGAATCCTTTCGGAGGACCTTTTTCTTCCTCCTCTTCATTGTATTTGCCTTCACCTTCGCCAGACCACTGACCATCAGATGTTTGACTGGAAAACTGACTACTGGATGCGCTGTATTGACCACCACTCGATTGACCTCCACCATATTGACCACCGCTTCCAGAATGTCTACCTCCATATTGTCCAGAGCTTCCGGAAAATTGTCCACTTCCTGATTGTCCAGCATTTCCAGAAAATTGACCACCTCCTAACTGTCCAGCGCTTCCAGAAAGATGTCCACTCCCATATTGCCCAGAACCTCCAGAATATTGCCCACTTCCAGCACTCCCAGAGTGACTGCCAGAAAATTGACCAAGTCCTGATTGTCCGACACTTCCGGAGAATTGCCCACTTCCTAACTGTGAAGCAGCGCTTCCAGTGTGACTACTAGAAAATTGACCAAGCCCTGGTTGCCCTGAACTTCCAGAAAATTGGCCGCCTCCCAACTGTCCAGAACCTCCCAAATGAGTTCCTGACTGCCCGACGCCTTCAGTAAATGGTCCAGAACTTGTAGAGTGACTTCCAGAAACTTGTCCCACACCACTAGAAAATTGTCCGCCAAGTTGCCCAGAGTCTCCAGAATGTCCTCCGGAATATTGTCCTCCTGATTGCCCAACGCCTCCAGTAAATGGTCGAGAACTTGTAGAGTGACTTCCAGAAACTTGGCCCAAACCACCAGAAAATTGTCCGCCAAGTTGCCCAGCGCTTCCAGAATGTCCTCCGGAATATTGTCCTCCTCCAAGTTGTCCAGCGCTTCCAGCAAGACTTCCACGTCCACTGGGCTGCTGATACTTATTCACATTTTGAGTTTGCTCTGGTTGATATTGACTCCCTTGATAGTGAACATTTTGACCCGGATTTGGATATTGCTGCCTTTGTTGTTGATACTGACTCACGAGTTGTTGTGCTTGCCCTTGTGACGGTCGTTGATATTGTTGTTGTTGAAAATGTTGTTGTGGTAATTTCTGACCCTGAGGTGACAATGGTCCTTCAGCATAATTTCCATGGCTGTCATAAGGACTTCTAAAAGAACATTATTCATTTGTTTCTTAATTAATCGAATCAAAAYTTACGCAACCGGTCTCGAATTTCGTTCTGCTTGTTCGTTCCAGAGTCTTTGATGCTCTTCCTTTGCAGCTTTCACTTCGGGCGTATCCTCGATTTGTTGCGGGAGAACTTTTGGGACGTTATCGACTTGATGAAATCCAGTACCATCATCCCAATATTCGACCTGTGATACATTTTCAATAAAAAAATTATACTTAATATAAAATTATGTACTTTAATTTCTTGTCCATTTCCCGCGATGTAGTTATATGCCCCTCGCAAGTCGCCACCAGCTTTTTTCTTTTCAGTTTTTGCAATATCAGGTACTGAGTAGCCATAAAGGTACCCTCCTAAGCCATCTTGACCGTGATATTGATTGGCCAAATAAATATCTTCGAGGACATTATGAGGCTCATTCCCCAAATATCTCACAGCCGGTACATTCGAATCAATTTTTGGGGCATATTTAAGACTTGTGTCTTGTTTATCGATGTATTGTTGCGCGTCGGTTGGTTCTAAATCTAATAATCTAATTTCCTCGCAAAAAAATTGAGGTAAAACGCAAAATAAAACGATCTGAAAAATAAAAAAAAAATCTCAGAGTTCAAGTTCGTGTTAAGCGCATCATTTAATATCCGGTTTTGTGTTATTTAATTAGTTAATTAGTTAAGTGCGTCCTTCAGTTTAATTTAATGTAAAGACTTCAAAAATATTAAAAAAATAAGGCATTAAAGACTTACCGCCCCGATCGTAGATTTCATTTCGGCACTGGATAAATTATCTTTTTTGAACTACCTTTAATATGTAAATTAACAAATAATTCAGGTTTCGTAATCATCTCCTTTATATATGTGCTAAATCCGTAAACTTCCCTCTCTCTGAAGATGAGCTTCCAGCGGTTTCAAAAATGTCGGTCCAGAATCGTAATTAATAAAACAAACACGTTCTATATTGGAAGATTACAAAGTTGAGAGGAAAATCTCAAAACAGGATTTTAATATTAAATGATTCATTCTTGACTGCGTAATTTTATAACTTGTGGAAACGGCAATGAGATGAGCAAGTGAGAATATTTTTAACCTTCGGATAATTGTTAACTATTCAATAATAACGCGCATTGTAAAAGTTAATGTCTGTTATAAAAAGACTTTACTGTGTCTTGGTCTGACGTAGAATCGCACAAAAAATGTGTAAATGATTGTAATTTGTGAGCATTTAGTATGCACCAGACTGTACTATTAAGTGACATCAATAGGCCACAGACTTTGCTTTTACTTTTATCTCTGGGAAAATTCTAATTTGGCCATAATAATAATAATAATAGGGTGAGAAAAACGTGACCAAATATCGAGACGTAATCACATATTATAATTTATTTATTTTTGATGAAATACAGCGTAAAAACATGTAACCAGTTCCGGGATTAGATAATATTTTTGAACAGAAAAATCTCATTGGCCTTGAATTTGGTCACTTTGACTTGATGAGATCGTTTTTTGTTCTTGCTCATCTTCAACATAACCAGCAGTTTCCAAAATTTACGTATTCTTAACAATTAATCAATCTTGATTGAGTCGTCTTAACATAAAACAAATTATTTTCGTCATAAATTATCGACTTGTAAACAAAATGATTTTTCGTCGAATTAGCACCAGGATTAAATAATTAAAAATTAATAAAATGAGTCATAGGAAAATTCAGGGCTTTTAACACTCCGTAGGTAATAATTCTAGGATCATCCGTGACCGTATAGGTCAAGGGTAACGGCTGAGAAATTTAAAATAATTCATCTCAAATTGCCATGATGTCAAAACGTCCGGCTCGTGTCACGAGCCGCCAAATTCTTCGTAATGGGTAACACATTTTTTTGTAACAGATGTGATATTGATAAATTTAACTTATCACGGGCTTGTGTCGACCAATTCCTTAATGGTAACATCAGGTTTATGCAAATTGTCATATGAAAAAAATCGATGTTGTAGACGAGTCCGACAATAAATTATCGTTTGAAGATCGTTGGATGGCAAAATTGAAGTGTCTGGATGATGTCCACAGCAAACAGAATGGTTTAACTGAAGAAGCTTTCAATGAAATGGTGGATAAATTGGAAAAGAAACTCAAATCGAAAAATATACCTGTTTATTGCAGGAATCGGGAATTAGTAGGTAACAAGAAAACTTTAGCCCTAATTAATTAATTGCAGTTGTTAGAGTGTCTGGGGCGCAATCCCAACTGTATGTTGAATTGTAAAAAAGAAATGGATGAGTTCATTGACTGTGTTGATGCGTTGCGAGTGCGACGTATCAAAGAACGTATCCAAGACTCAATGCACAAGAAAAAACTCGACTTAGACGCATTAGTCAAAAGCTAAATTATCGCTTTTCTAAACTTTTAAACTTGGCCTCTAACCGTTTCGAGTACGCGTCCAATTTGTATGCAGCTTGTTCTAATTTCACTACACTGTCCTCAATTTGATCAATTTGTTGCAAGTATGGCTGCAGAGAATTGTCTAAAAATTAGTAATAAATCAGTGGTACAAAATAGAAAATTCAGGTTACATTTCTCATTTAATTCTTGTATGCTTTTTGAAACGTTAGCGGCGATGTGTTTCATGTCTGAATATTTCGTAATCGTCGCACGATTCATGTTTTCAAGCAAACGGTAATCATCGAGAGTTGAAGTTAACTCGCCGTATAAATAATCAGAGGTTTTATTAAACATAGTAGTAGCTAAACGGCTTAAATTGGGGTCGTGGGGGTCCAAAGCCTCGAAACTTGAAGTTGAGGTCGACAAAGTCGGACCTAACAAAATAATTACTTTGAGAAAAAAATAGCGCCTTTACCTTTTTTGGGAGAGTCTGTTACACCCTCAGAGTCAACTTCCTCAGCCATTCTGATTTTTTTTTGCAAAATACATTAAAAAATTACATAACCTCTGTCAATATTCAAAATCGGTAATACAGAAGCCTGTAAAGTTCGATTAAATTTTTTATCAAATTATCAATTTTGTCTTGTATTGTAAAAATTATTGATTTTTCTAGTTTCAATCAGTGTTACGCTTATCTAATGTCAATATACCTAAATCGTTTGAATAAACAGAAAATCAGCAGAATTCCAGAGCTTTTCGCAACTTCTCGTTTCAAATAGATGTCGCTCCCGTAAACGTCAATTTGACAGTTATTTCATTTTATTTGTTTACTCCCCATTTTCATGTTGTGTGTTGGTGTTTAGTGGCAAAATGTTAGCCCCCGAGGCAGGCTCAACGAACAACCCTGATGTCGCCGATAAAACTCCTTTAGTGGGCCATAGTCGCGGTTTTATGAAAAAAATCGCCGGTCTTTTGGGCCAAAATGAGGGACAGCCGAGTAACTCAGGCCCCAGTTATGTCGAGTTTGGGTCTTTTACCGAACAATCAGAGACGAGGACTTTAGGAACGTTTGCGGGAGTTTTCAGTCCCGTGACCTTATCGATGTTTTCAGCTCTTATTTTTTTGCGAATGGGTAACCACACAAAAATGTGTTACGTCAGCTATTTTGATTTATCTGTAGGGTATATCGTCGGAAATGCGGGATTATTGGTCACTCTTGCACAGTTCATGATAGCTTATCTCATTTTGGTGTTTACGGTTGCCTCGATTTGTGCGATTTCGACAAATGGGGCTGTGGAAGGGGGCGGCGCTTATTGTATCCTTTCCATTTAAAAACAAGACAAATTTAAAGCCAGATTTGTATTTCTTTAAGTTATTTCTTTAAGTTCAGTTATGATAAGCCGGACTTTAGGCCCAGAATTTGGGGGCTCAATAGGCACTTTGTTTTTTTTAGCAAATATCGTCAGCAGTGCCCTATGTATCTCAGGATGCGTGGAGGGACTTGTCGAAAATTTTGGCCCTTCCGGATATTTAGTCAAGGGATTAATTCCAGACGGCCATTGGTGGCAGTTCCTCTACTGTGTGTGCCTCAATACTCTGAATCTTCTAATTTGCTTAATAGGAGCTGCTATGTTTGCCAAAACCACAGTTATAATTCTCGCAAGCGTATTAATTTGTCTGGGAATTACAATTTTCAGTTTTCTTTATCAAGGCCCCCAGAAAGTAGCCGTACCAGACTCAAACAGGCTTATTTTTCAAAACGAAACATTTCGTGTTTTTGAAAATTACACAGGATTTCGTATGGAAACATTGACGTCGAATTTGTATTCACAATATGGCAAAGATTATACAGCTAATGGTGAAAGGGTGACATTTGCGTCAGTCTTTGGGGTACTTTTTTCCGGGGTCACTGGAATTATGGCAGGAGCTAATATGAGCGGTAATCACTGAATCTTTAATCATTCTTTCACATAATTGTTGATCTTCTTTAGGTGAATTGAAAAATCCGGGAAAGTCAATACCAAGTGGCACTTTATCGGCTGTAGGTTTTACTTTAATAGTCTACATAACGATTTCATTTTTTACCGCTTTTACTTGTACAACCGAATTGATACAAAACAACTATTTATTTATGGCGGGGGTTAGTGTTTTTCCCCCTAGCGTGGCCGTGGGGTTGTTAACAGCCACCTGGTCGGCTGCTTTAAGCAATGTTATAGGGGGTTCACGTGTTTTGGAAGCTTTGGCAAAAGATAACGTTTTTGGTATGTCTTTCATTTATTAAACAACAAAACTAACAAAACTATTTAGGTCCACTATTGTCTTTTGTGCCTAAAGGGACTTGGAAAGGCAACCCCGTCGCCGCCGTCCTTGTGTCGTGGCTCCTTGTCCAACTTGTTCTTTTAATTGGATCCCTTAATATAATCGCCCAATTAAATTCAGTTCTCTTCCTTTTGAGCTACTTAGCGACGAATTTGGCTTGTTTGGGCCTCGAACTTGCAAGTGCTCCCAATTTCCGTCCCTCTTTTAAATATTTCACTTGGCATACTGCCCTTTTGGGTCTTGTGGGGACTATAATTATGATGTTTGTTATTAGTCCGATTTACGCCTTTTGTAGTATTCTTTTATGTCTCTTTTTGTTTATATTTCTGCACCTTTTCTCCCCTTCCAAAGAGGCACATTGGGGGAGTATTTCTCAAGCATTAATTTTTCATCAAGTCCGCAAATATCTTCTATTGCTTGATTCTCGCAAAGACCATGTTAAATTTTGGCGGCCGCAAGTGCTTTTACTTGTAAACAGCCCCCGATCGGCTTGTCCTTTAATCGATTTTATCAACGATTTGAAAAAGGGGGGGCTATACGTGTTGGGGCATGTGGTTAAAGGCGATCCGGATTTGCTAGGACCGGACCCGACTCTCGACATGCAATTGCATTGGTTGAATTTAGTCGATCATTTGAAAGTCAAAGCTTTCGTCGAGTTGACTGTAGCCCCTTCGGTAAGGGACGGCTTGAGACATTTGGCGAGACTATCAGGAATGGGGGCCATGAAGCCAAACACGGTCGTTTTGGGGTTCTTGGACGAGGAATACCAATATGATTTCCTGCAAAGCGGCGATTCGTCGTACCAAAACAACGATTTCGGTAATGATGTGTTTCCCCTAAATTCGCAAGAGAAATTAGAGGCTTTGGAATACGTCCAAATGATGGGGGATGTACTCAAGATGAACAAAAATTTATGTTTATGTCGGAATTTTCCCAAATTGAAGAAAGATACGAAGAAAAATTGGACGAAGAAATATATAGACGTTTGGCCTGTTAATTTCTTAAATCCAGGTGAAATGGATGCGTTTGACACGACTTCGTTGTTCATGATGCAGTTGGCGTGTATTGTTAACATGGTGCCTCTTTGGAGTCGCCTGAAATTGCGTTTATGTATCTGTGACGAGGCAAGACAGACTCGCTTTACGTTAAGTCCGAATGGGCAGAGTCATATCGAGAAATTACATTTGCTTTTGAAGAAGTTGAGGATTGCAGCAACGCCTTTTCCGGTTCCAGGCTGGAGTAATGTCATTGAATCGCATGGAAACCAAATGGAAACGTACTTAAAAAGGTAATAAAAGATGGTGATTTTTTAAACACACAACAATAATAATTAACAACAAAATTAACAATAAAAGATTAGATGTCAAATTTGGCAGTATTGTCTAACTGATTAAGTCTAAAATTACATTTTACGAAAATTGTTTTAGCGTTAATAATTTGATATTGCAACAAACCTCGGACACGGTAGTGACTTTTATATATCTTCCGCCGCCTCCAAATAACGATTCTGAGAAAGAGGCATACTACCAGAAATTGGACATTATCTCAAGAAATCTTCCTCCGACAATGTTTGTTCACGGCGTTAGCACAGTAACGTCCACCACATTATAATATTAACTTAAATGAAATTTTTAGAGTATTATTAAGAACAAACATATTTGTACGATATTAATATTTTTATACGTCTATAAACAAATTTTTAAGACATATCTTTATTGCCTTAAGTATAATAAAATAATACTGTGATGTTTATGTAAGGAATAATAATAAAAGTTTTAAGTCAGTTTGGTTTTAAACAATTTTTATTTAAAATTTTTTCAAATTGACGTGTCCACGCAAGCGCGTATCTCGTAGATCCCTAACCTCAATTCTATCCAAATTTTCAATTTTTTGAATTTCTGCAATATGGCCCTAGAAAATAGCGAAAAATTTGACTTGAAAGTAGTTGAAGAAAACTTTTCATCAGCTCTCTGTGAAGAAGATGACGTGCAGCTTCAAGGTTACCTTAACAGCTACGAAGAATTGAATAAGTGAGTCATAGTTTTGTTCACAATAAAAAAGGCTTTACAACCCCCATTCAAGGTTTTTTACTCTAATGGGCACCGTCTTTGGTTTCGTGAGCAAAGATCTCAAATCAAAAATGGATGTTTTGGCCGAATTCCTCGCAAATGAAAAAATTTCGGATAATTTTGTAACTGTGAAAAAAATGATTGAATATGAGCGCGACAATCAATTATTACACAAGAAAGGGTACACGTCCGGTAGTCGGACCTTATTACGTTTGCACCGTGGATTAGGTAAGTAAAAAAATGCAATGATTTGATAATTGTTTAGATTTCATTCGGGAATTTTTGAAAAACGTGGGCGAGTTGAAAGATGAGGAAAACACTGGAGGTGTATGCCGTGAAGCCTATGACCGTACCTTAGCCAAACACCACCCGTACATGATAAGAAAGGGGGCCCAAATCGCCATGTACACCCTTCCGACGCGAGAGCAACTCTTAAAGAAGGTCTGCGGCGACGAAATCGGCGTCAAAGAGGCCTTAGAAACGCTACCAAAGACTTTGGATGCAACAGACGCGGTTTATACGCGAATTGAAGCCTTGTACACGAACTATGATCTCCACGCCTTGCCTTAATCACCCAGGTACCTCCTCCTCTACATTCCTTAAAAGTGTGCAATTCCATTTTACAGCTTGCTTATTAATTTATTTAAAAAAAATAATATCTACAGTGACAAGTATTATTTCTTTTTAGCGAAACGTTTTTTCGCCCATTGACCTTTAGACTTAGTTTCCAGTTCCTTGGGGTTTTGGTCATTGTGAAGGGCTCCATACAAGGCGTGTGCATCACTTGGATTACCCAACACTTCTTTCAATTCGTCTTTACTCATTTTAATCGCATTGTCCATACTTTTCACTTGGCGTAGAAACACATCGATGTTCTTTGAATTGATCCCTGGGAGTTTTTGGACAAAATCGTAAATATTACTGTTGTATTTGGTCTCCACAAGGTCTAGGTCTTGTTTGCCTCCAATTGCGGCCGCGTATTCCACGTTAGGCTCCTCTTTACCATCCTAAAAGTACACAAAAGTAGAGTTTTGTTTAAAATTCTGTTGTTTTACTTTCAATTCCTCAAACAACTGAGCTGTAGCATATGGACTAGGGCTCCAAATAATTTTCAATTTCGGAAAATGTAGCGACAGCAAGAGCAATTTTTTCTGAATATCGAAACTATTAGTGTCACTTGAGACCATATACTGGTTCTAAAAATTTTAATTGTTTCAAAAATATTTAATTGTTTTGTTGTTTACCTGCCACGAGAACGGCTTATTTTGATCAAACTCGATCAAAAGCATGGGTTTTGCATAATATCTAAACATTTGAGTGCATTGTTGATACAACCTACCGCTATTTAGCGACCCCACAAGATCCGAAAGGCTCTTTCTTTCGACACAAATCTCCGGTGTTAAAATATAATCCCCTACTGCGATAGTAACCGGCTCGATATCTACCCCTCGTTTGTGAATAAGAGCCGGCAATTCGCTCCGAAACTCCCTCATGTCGACTATAACATACTTCCTGGAGACTTCCTCGGGTCGCCCCCCGTGCCTTGTATTTTTACTCGGGGATATAAGATCGCGTTGGAGGGTAAGACAGAGGTCTGATTTTCCGTCTTGGTCTTCGGGTACCACCATTTTCGATTTCGTCTCAATCAAATACTCGAAGGCTTCTTTTTCGCGTCGCAGCGACGTTAAATAGCTTTGCTCTTCGACCGTTTCACCGTGGATCAGAAAATAGACTTTAAGGGGCGCATCGCGTTTCCGGTGGGCTTCATACATTTCAATTTCGCGGATTGCCGTAATGTTGCTGTGGTACATTATAATAAAAGAGGGGTTGATTTCGTGGAGGGTGCGTTGGAGGTTGATGGTGCCAGGAGTGCCTTTGAACGTTTGGATGAGGACAGTAGGGGCGGTTACGGACTGACAAATTTGGGTTATGTTCAGGTTTTCCAATTCGTCACATTGTTCGAAAATGTATTGAGATTCGTCGTTGGGTGTTTGGGACATGGTTAAGACGTAACTACTTTTTATTTCTTCCTCTTGTGGTTTATCTTCGATATTACTCTCGTCTAATTTGGGCTTTTTGGCCGGTTCTGGGACCTCATCTATTTTTCCACATTGTTGAAACGAATCATTGATCTTTTTAAAGGTGACTTTCTTATCAAGAGCATTTAGGAACAAATATTTGTGAGGTCCGTGTGACAATAACTTGAATAAAAAATTGATTTTTAACATTATGAACAATTTTATTATTACCTGATTTAACTGATAACAAGTTTTGTGGTCTGTACACAGTATCAAAATTATATTTTCACCACTTTTCGATTTTGCGATCTCGTGAGGTATTTCGACTTTTAGGAGTTCTAGTAGAGACTTCCATTTTGGACAAAATTCCGGATTAAGTTCTAAAATATTTCTAGTTTTCAGGCCGAGTTTTATTTAAACTCAATTTTACCTCTATCTCCTGTAAAAATCAATGAACCTGCTTGAGAAAAGAGTAATTCTGCAGGTTCAGTGAGTACCCAAGTGGCCGTTTGGGCATATTCCATTGACCTATAGGTTGACAAAGTCGAGTAAAATGTTACAGGATCGGCATAATGCATTGTACTAAAAAAATTCTTTCTTTTTAATTTTTTAGAAAGATAATTATTCTTACATTATCAAATGACGTAACGTCTTTAAATCAGCCACTAGTTGTTTACTTTTTTCGCTTAACTGATTCCAAATATTGTCCAATTGAATTTGGAGATTTTTTTGAAATTGTTTGGTCAAACAATTTTCAACTGTAATTTCCTGTTGAAACAAAAATTAATTCCCATTACGTAATACTAGATCGACTTAAATTACTTGCAGTTCCACTGTTTTATTAATTCTTTTCAATTCCTTAACGGTAATATTCATTAAATCCAAAATGTAAGTTTGCATTTTGCTCATATTTTCCGAAATTGGGACATGTAACTCAATCACTTGTGGCTAAAAATGCCCGGAATACATAAAGTCAATTAATATCAGTTAACTCACTTCGTATTGTTTTAAACTTTGAATAACCATCGAATGAAATCTAGGCCAAATATACAATTCCTTGACAAATAACGTTCGCATTATCCGTTCTACGTGGCCAAAACCCATTGTAAAACTTTGCACACTGTTTGAAAATGCCTTAATGAAACCTGTCTACAAAATTTTTACCACGTGTTGAATAATATATTTTTTTCTACGACATACTTTATTCTTTTGGCGGTATAAACGCAACGCAAAAGCCTCTTGACAACTTTCGAGGACTTTGTGAGCACGTAAAATAACAAAACCTGTGATTTTGTCAATGGGAACTCGGTTTTTAAGCAAATCAACAACCAAAATCCTAGTTGTGATGAAGTGAATACCTCCTGATAAATACGCGTCTTCTCTGCAAAGATATGTTTACTATTCTATTAATGGCATACTAGAAACAACCTATTAGTGGTGCTGATGTTAAAGGTTGTGCTATGAATGTTACCATCGTTGATTTTATTAATGAAGAATTTTTCTTCTGCTTCGGTTGCATTTAAGACTATAACTAAGTTACCCGGATCGCTGAATACCTTGAAAAGGTTTAAAAGAACTAAATCAAGGTTAAGACCCCTAAAAATGTAATTTAAAACGATTTTTGACCAAGTTGAATAAGGCTTTACTTGGCTGCAACCACTAAACCATCTTTGTGAAGGATGTCTAGGAATATTTGGGTCTCGAATTCCAGCATGTACTCTAAATCTGTCTTATCGAGGAGTTTATCGAGCTCTGAGGGTTCTAAATCTTTCTCAGCCATCGTTTTTGGTAGAAAAATATTGAATCCAATTCAAAAATTGTTTTGACGCATAATGGGTTAGAATCACGTTTGACATTTAAGCTGAAGCAGGGCCACCAATCTCACATCTGTCAAGGTTCATTTTCTTAATATTTCAATAATTTATGATCCGCTAATATAGGGCGCCAAGTAATTGAAATTGCATTGATTTTTTATCGTTAGACAATTAAAAAAAAAGCTTTCACAAACTGTAACAAAAAAGAGTTTAAAAACAGTAGCCCATAGCGGATATTAAAATATTTTGAAACATTAGATGGGCAACTGCAATTTTCGATATTATGTAAAACTTGCAAGTCTATAAATCAATGTCAAAAGTGACAGATTTGGTTATGTGTGTCGGTGACGGTGTGTTGGTGCGATGAAATTGTAAACATTCCAAAATGCCTAGTTCTCTTCTTTTTGGTATAAACAGTGAGGGGCGCGTCCACACCCTCTCCACCACGGGGACGATGTGGCGCGAAATTCCTTACGCCGGACAAGAATTCAAAAAACTAGCTGCAGTCCCGCACTTCCTATGGGCGTTAGGGGGCGACCACCAAATCTACGTGTACGTCCACGGCCTCGACATTCCTATTCGAGTCCGAGAAGAGTCCTACGAAAATGAGGTGGATCTTTAGAGTGGTATGCTTTTCGATAACTTGGAGCTTTTAGAGGTGGCTTCCGATTGAAGGCTTCTCGTCGCGTCTTTTACCGACAGATCGCTACCATTTTTCGAATGCTGACGGCACCGTTGATCGCTCAATTGATAAAATTAGGCTGCCGTCAATGGCTTGGCAATGGGAGGGCGATTGGCAGTTGGAGTTGACGCTGGATGGGCAGCCTTTGGACCACCAGGGGTGGACCTATGCGGTCGATTTTCCGTCGCAGTATTATTCGAAGAAGCAGTGGAAGAGTTGCGTGAGGCGGCGACTGTGGGTGAGATCGCGGAGGTACAGCGCGATGAATTCGTGGTGTGCGATAGCCCCCTTACACAAAGACGCCACAAGTGTAAGAATTTGCTTCATTTGTTGTCTTTTTTGTAACTAAATTTGGTTGTAAAGGAGCCATTCATTGACATATCAATCGGGGGGCAATCGGTAGCGGGGGCGGAGCCCGGCACAATGCTGGTTTGGGCCGTAACTTCACACAACCGGGTTTGTCATTAATTTATTTGTAAATCTGAAGAAACATGTCTCTCTTTGGGTAGGTCATGTTTCGTACTGGCGTCAGTACGAAGTCTCCCGAGGGGGCCCGTTGGAATCCTATCCAAGTGCCTCTCGGCAGCGAAGTAAACCAAATCAACGTGGGCCCCACGGGTCTAGTCTGGGCGTCTCTCCTTGACGGCCGCGCCCTAGTTCGTATCGGAGTCACTCGTGATTGCCTCACCGGTGATTCTTGGGTGGAAGTCCGAGGCCCCGGAGACAATCTAAAAATAAGCCAGCTCTCTGTGGGCAGTTGCGCCGTTTGGGCAGTTACCCAAACCAAGCAAGTCTGGTTTAGAAAAGGGGTGAAAGGGGAGGGTGCGGGGATGAGCGAGGAGCTGGCTGCTGGATGCGGATGGGTGGAAATGGTCGGCCGGATGGCACAAATCAGTGTCGCCGCCAACGACCAAGTTTTTGCAGTGGGGGCCGATGATCGTCTGGTTTACTATAGGAGCGGAGTGGTTAATTCGGATTTGACGGGGAAGAGGTGGAAGGCGCTGCATGCTCCCTTGCAAGTCAGTAGGGCTAGCAGTAATGCGAGTCTTAATAGAGATAAGTTTCATCGCAGCTTTAACGCTTTGGTAATTAACACAGTCATTTGTGTATGTGTGTTTTTTGTATGGGAATTTTTGTTGATAACAAACATTTTTATATAATAAAATATAAATTAACATCCTAAAGTTTTTATTAAATTATGTACATAATTTGGTAACTACATTTTCATGGATTTTTTTGTGCTTTAATTTGTTTGCTTTTTATTTAAGAAATAACTCTGCTAAATCCTACCTCGTGCTTACGATATTTCATATTTATCGTTGTTACTTCAAGTAAATTTGAACCTTATTTAAGCTGTAATTCATAATAAGTAACAACACGTAAAATAAAATAATGTGTGCTTTTGTAGTAATGTTCGATTTATTTTTATGCGAAGTTGTTTTTCATGTAGCAGAGTCGCCCTAGCAGCATGTGTGAACCGTCGACGATCTCCGAATGGGAGGACCAATCTCACTCCGCCCCTACGGCTCCCACGTCCCTCCCTGTCGGTGACCTAACCCAAAAATTCGAGACTCAACCAAAGAATCCCAAAGCTTGGAGTCCTGTCCACTCGGTAGGCTCCATCGTCGGTACTGAAGTCCACCCGGAAGTGGACGAAAGTGTATGGAGTGATGGCAGTCGTGAATCGTGCATTTTTGCTGAAGACGAAGAGCTCGGCTGGGCGGAATACGAAGCGCCCTGGTCGTGGGTTGAGGCGGGCGCTTGTACCGTCGATCCCGCCCAGTTGCCCAATTGGTTTGCTGAAACTGGAGGCGGGGCTAACCAAACCGAAATCGACGAACCATGGCGTTTGAAAATTTTACAAGAATTGAAATTGCGACTGCCTACCGAAAAGTACAAGAATTGGCAGTTGGCCGTGGATACGACATCGTGGGTGCATTCAGGGGAGGCGCGTGTTAGTTGGGGAAGTGGCCAGTTTGTTGATTGTCTGTTGCAATTGGAATGGGTGCAGACGACAGGGACTTTAACAGTGTTGAACCCGGACGGGGCGAGCACTATGGTGAGTTGGGTGGGGGTGGGGATTGTATCTAACTCCACTTGCAGAATATTTTTAGTTTGAATGAAATCACGTGTATCCAATGCTGTAGCGAGCCAGGAAATCCCCGGCTTGCGATTCATTGCCCACGCCACGCCCCATCGATGTTAAGGTTACAGTTTAGTAGCGACGCCCAGTTGGAAGAATGGCAAACGCATTTTGCCACAACTTGTGGAAAATTGCATCAAGCGTTGGGTAAGCCCAGCGAGGAGAGTGTGTGGGCGGTGACTGGTTTAGGGGATGTGTTTATTTGGGACCCGACCCAACTCGAATCAAATCAACTGCGTGAGAATGATTATTATGTACAAAAGTTTGATTTGAGTGGAAAAGAATCGCCGATTAAAGTCGCTCTTCATGGGAGTTTCAGTCCAGGTACTACCGTAACCTTAACTGGGTGTATAGGAGATGATGCGGACCGAATTGGGATTAATCTAGACGCCCATTCGACATACAAATTGCGTCACAAGGCTTACAGCGAGTTTGAAAATACTTGTCTGCACTTCAATCCGAGGTTTGCCGATGGTTACATCGTGAGAAATTCGATGATTGAGGGGAAGTGGGGAAAGGAGGAGTATGATGGTGAAATGCCGTTACAAAAAGGGCACGAATTTACCCTAAAAATTGAGACAACAGAAGACGCCTTTGTTATTTATATCGATGATAAACTTTTCACCCATTATAGACACCGTCTACCCCCAAATTCAGTCTCAATGTTGAATATTTGGGGACGTTTACAACCATTCCGATTAGTTATTAAATGTCCCGATATCATTCTCGATCCGTTAAATTTGTATTGGAGGCAAGTGGGCGGTCATTTGAGGCGTGTAGAATCATGTCGAGTGGGCGTGACTTGGGGTATCGGCTATGACCACACGGCGTGGGTGTATAACGGTGGGTGGGGCGGCGGTTTTTTGGGGCCTTTGGACAGTCATAATGTTCATCCTATGACTGATTCTCAAGATTATCGCGTTTACGAAAACCAAAGATGGAATCCTGTCACTGGATATACTTCAGCAGGGCTACCAACTGATCGATACATGTGGAGTGATGCAACGGGCAAACAAAAGAGAACTAGAGATCAAGTAAAACTGTTGTCGGTGAAATGGCAGTGGGTTTCTGACTGGATGATCGATTTTCACGTGCCAGGGGGAGTGGACAAGGATGGATGGCAGTATGCTGTCGATTTCCCGAGTACTTACCACGCCCATAAAAATTTCACCGATTATGTGAGACGAAGGCGGTGGTATAGGCGGTGCGCTGTAGCCACGATTGGGCCGTGGCAAGAGTTGGGCCACACGAAACTGATTGATGTGTCTTTGGAACCGGTGAAAGATGATGTGGATAGTGTCATATCGGTGTGGGCATTGGCTTCAGGAGGACAAGCGATGTTCCGAACTGGAGTCACAAGGTCGAATCCCACGGGAACAGGGTGGGAACACGTAACTTCGGACCAACCCCTTGGGAGTATCAGTTGTGGTCCCTATAATTTGGTTTGGGCTATTGGAAAAAAAGGTTGTGCGTATTGGAGGGCCGGAATTAATGAAAATAAGCTTGAAGGTGATAGATGGGTGTGTGTAGAGCCTCCTAACGGAGGTCAGTTAAAAGAAATTTCAGTTAACTGTGTTGGGGTTTGGGGAGTTGATCATCTAGGACGGTTGCATGTGAGGAGGGAAGTGACGGAGACGTTTCCTGAAGGGACGCACTGGCAAACTATTACGGTCGATCCGCTTGTACTTAGTAAGTCTTTAAAAGTAATGTTGGGTTTGTCTTAAGTGAATTTTACAGATTCAGCTCCAAATACAACCGGATTTAAACATGTCAGTGTTGGAAGAAATGAAGTCTGGGCTACGACCGACGGTGGTGCCATACTTCGACGTACGGGAATTTGTAAAACCAACCCTGGAGGGTCGGGTTGGTTTATCGGGATTCCGGTAAGAATTTAATCGAGTAAGGGTTAGCAGTACTGATTTGGGTTTTAGGGAAACTGGCAACAAGTCAGCGTCCGTGCATTTAACTAAGTGCTAAAATGTGATTTTAATTTTTTTATCAGCTTTATTTCTGTGATAGTTTTATTTGAAAGAAAAGGCAAGCTTAACTGATAAATTATTTTATATTATTTTTTGTTGTAATTATAAACATTCCATATAAACCCAACACATATAAACAATAAACTGTTACAAAAAATAACTACAGCTAAATTTGTACACCTAATAACAGTGGATACAGAGTTGATGAGGTAAAAAATAAATAATAGAAAGTCAAGTATATGATGACACCCAAAAAAAAAAAACAACGATAATATATGAATAATGACAATCAAAAAAAGGTGCTATGATCTGTACACAACGGTGATGATATTGTACTGTATTAAAATATACTGGTTACGTATGAGGCTCGTTTAGACTAGTAAATTCGCATCTCACGGATACACTCCTTCAGTTCTGTAATAAAAAAAACACATTATACAACCAGTCCTAATAAACACGATTTTATTCTACCTGCATAGGTGAGAGCTGGGGGTTCCGCTCAAGTTGCAAAATGTGTTGCTGCGCTTGCGTCAGCTGTCTAGTGGCACTACCTAACTGTTCTTCTAAAGCAGCGGCTTCCAAACACTTCACTGACAGCCTTTCTGATAAGTCGAGCAGATCGTGTCTCTGCTGTCTCGCATACTCTTGTTTAAACTTCGCCACCTCTCTTTGTACTTCCGCCTCGTGGGCCTTTTTCATAGCATCGAGTGCAGCCAAAGTGGCTTGCGTCTCTTCGGCAAGAGCTTGTTCCTTCTCTTGACGCAAGCGTTCGGTTTCTTGTGCGTGCGTTTCTCGCAATTCCTGAATGGTCCGACGATGCCATTGCTCCATTGCGAGCAAAACACGCTCACAGAGAATCTGTAACTGCTCGATGTCTGACTCCTGGTGGCGCTCTTTACACGAAGCGAGGGCACAACGGTACGCTGCGCGGAGGTTCTCCACCTGGGTTAGGTACTCGGTGCCGAGGTAGACCGGACGGTGTTCTTCAAAAGACTCCAATCTAGACAAAGTCAACGGTTATTGTCTCCCTTTGTTACATAGTGGGCGAAAACTTACCTTCTGAAGGATGGTGTCCTCGTGATTCCTTTCGATGTCCTCTCGATACTTTTTCGCACCTCCTCCAATTTATCCCTTAAACTCCTACACTTGGCACACACATCCCCCCAATTCCTCACAACGACTTCATCATACTCCACCGGTAAATTCGCTTGTTTTTGCAATTCCCCGATTTCGTCAGCCAAATCATTTAAGTATCCTAAGACCTCCTCGAGTTCCGGTTGACCAACCAGAGCGTAACAATCTTTACTACACCTATCTATCATACACATAAACTCGGCTTCTACACTTTGGTTTATTTGTACCGATTGGTTCTCAAGACAATCCCACAGATTGTCGTTCTGTAACCAATTCCCTAACGACTCTTTCGCACTCAACTGAGCCAATGTTGAACATTTTCCACTCAAAACGTCCATTCGTGCATCGATCAGGGCCTTATGAGCTACGACATCAGCGAATTCCTGAAGAAGAGCCGAAGATGAACGACTTCGCTCTGATTCGAGACGTCTCCGCCAGTTCTGTCTTTGCAACTTGTTCAATTGATTCAAATAAAGCTCAGTCAATTCTGACACACTCTTATTGACCTCTTCGTAAAGACAGTCACCAACTGAATCCGACCAGAGCTCAAGTGCCGCCCTCTCCGATGCGAAAAACGTGAAGAAATAAGGATGGTCGGCATCGATGTGTCCTTGATAAATTTGCGCTGCTCTCAACAGCACGTGATTGATCTCCGATTGTATCAGTTCTGAATTAGCAACATCTTTCGCCCCTTTAGTGAACTCACTGACAACATCGTCGCTCAATTTTTTCAGCCGACAATTCTTATCAACCGATAAGGTTTCTCCAGCCAGGATTTCGGCGAGTACTGGCAATTTTGCAGCCTTATATGAGTCTAACATCGCCCCCAACTTCTTCTGCTCGGTTCGGAGAAACTCCATCGAGGGGGCACAACTCGAAACAAAGTTTTTACAACCTGACGCACCTCCGGCCGCAGTCATCAAACACTTGGCCAAGATTTTCGTTAAGTAGTCGGCGCTTGTTTTACACGTCGGCATTTGTTTCGAACCGCCGTTTAATTTTTTCGACAAAGAGTTCATCAAATGGGCCGTTTCGCGCACTTCTTTGTTTACTAACCGTTCACATGTAACTTCGCCGGTTGCTGGACTCGTTAAAGCCTCTTGGATTCGCCCAATCAGTATATTTTCGTAAGCGACTTTCTCGGCCAAAATCTCTAATTTCGAGTCACTGTCGAGTTTGTTGCTTTCTCGCAAAGACCGTTTCCTTTCTGACAGATTTTTCAACTTTTCGACTAATAAAGTATGCAATTGTTTCACCACAGCACTCGCCGATGAATTAATTACGTTGATTTCCGCACTAGTAACATTAGTTGTAATAGAATCCGCGTCTACGATTTCATTCAGTTCCGTCAGATTTTGCTCTAGAGCAGACAACGAATGTGATCGTTTGACCATTGTTTTTAATAAGGCGACTTGATTAAGGCACTCGTCGATTTTTGTTTTGACAGGTGAATCAGACACGGCTAAGGCCACATTGAGAGACTCCGTGGAGGCGTTCACGTTGGTTACTTGACTTTCCAAGGTGCTTAAGCGCATTAGGAGTTTCATAGGTTCGGACGAAGTGGCGCTATCGAGGCTTTTGCGCCGTAGCCGCCGCAAGGACTTGTCGTCAATTGGTGAATTTCGTTCGCTGCTTCGGTCCCTCTTGTATTTTCGCTTCGTTCGCCCACGTTCTAAAGCCAGGATTTTCTCCTCCAATTCGGCCACTTTTTCCTCAACTTCCTTGTTGATCGAGAAACTTTCGCGTCCTGAAAAAAACTCGCATTATTCGGCAATTAACAATTAGAATTGACGCACCTTTAAGTGACAAAGACCTTCTCTTGTCTCTTGACTCACTCTTACTCTTAGTCCTGATCTGTTTCTCCGCTGCGTTCAATTTCTGCGTCAGATGTTCAAGCCTCGAGACCAACAACCCGATCTCGGCTTGACTTTCCTGCTTTACCATTTCTAAATTATTTTGAATACTGTAATTCATCAACTCCAAGTTATCACATTTTTCGTGTGCATCCCTCAATTCTCGTTTCACAGCACGAATTTCCAAAACGGCCTTTTCAAACCGCCCCCTCAGGTCCAAACAATACTCCTTCAACTCGTTTTGACCCAACTCGTCAATATCGACGTCCAAGTCGATGTTCGTCAAGTCGGTCAACGAGTCGCACCGTATACCCCTCTTGTGACCCCCTCGGCCTTCCAACTCCTGGACTCGCTTGAATAATCGGTCGTTTTCGTCGCGAAGTCGCCCGAACCGTTCGTTCGTACTCGACAACTCCTCTTGTAAATTCCCCAAGATGCGTTGTTTCGTCTGGAGCTCGCGACTCAAATTTGAGCATTTTTCCTCATAACTGGCGGCCAAATCCTCGGATTCGGCCAATTTGCGTTGTAGACTTCGCTGCTCTTTTGTGAATTTGAGCTCGGCTTGAGAATTTCTTTGGTTTAATTCGCGTTCGGTCCGTTCAAATGCCAGCGCCATTTCTTTGAATTTCATCTCTTGAATCATTGCCTCAGCTTGAAGTTTCTTCAACCTGGAAAAGGAGAAGTCACTTAACAAACAACCGATAATTAGACGACACCCACCTGGCAATTTCTTCCTCTAAACTCCTCACTTCCTCCACCGATTTGGCCAACTGTTTTTGCAAATCGTTTATTTCGACGTTTTGTTTGTTTATTTCGTTATTCAATTCGACGGTGTCTGGCAGCTTCATACAATCCAACTCATCAGTCGACGTGCTGTCTAACGTTGATTGCCTCGACTGACATCTCGGTAGCCTTGGTCGAATTCGCGTTGTTTTGACCCGATTTAACGAACTTCGGGTCAAAGGCGGCGACGGCGGGAGTTCCCCCCAATCTTCCGATCCTCTTCGACCACCTTCGGACGCTGTTCGATACTCCTCGTCGCTCGATAAGAGTACCGAACGCGGCGTGGTCGGACTTTCGGAACTTGACGCAGGCACCGCCTTTTTTAGCGCTTGCAGCCAATTAGAACGGATGCCTGACGTCACAGCGTATAGTACAAGAGTCGGACCTGCCCATTTGATTTCAAAACCAAATTTCGTTTCGGTCGGAATTTCATTGAAACTTGAAACGGATGACATTTCGACGACGATTTCGGGATTCTGTTCGTCTTGGTCTTGATAGACGTTGAGGGTGGGACCAAATAGAACCGCCCATCGCATTACAAAATCGCCTTCAATTGTTTTCAGCCACAGCCAGCCCTTTTTGAGATGGAGGAGACTTTCAGCCGGAAGGGCTAGACTCGATTCGGGAGAACGGTCGGTTAAAGCCGTCGCGATGTCTCGGAGACGCTCGTTGCGCCAATCGCGACGAGCTCTGGCCTTGTCGTCGCATCGTAACTTGTCCCGCGTCGGGGGAGACCCCGAACTTATTAAGTAATCTTGAAAAAAAAAATATGAAAAAAGTGTATGTAACTAAAGAATCAATTTGTGTATTTGTTTGTCCATCGTGCGTCAAATCGCGAGTCATCCCGCGCCGGGACTGCCTCAAGGGAAACCCACTAACATTTCGCCGTTGTAACTGTAAAACGGTTGAAAAGAACCGTCGATTAATCAGGACGTCGCATTGTTGTACCAAAATAAGTCGGATTTTGATCTGTTTCTGTAGGTTTTTTCCTATAATTGACGTAAACTAGCGGTAAATGACGCTTCCATTTCGTTAACCAATATTACGTTTCAAACGTCTGGCAAAAACATAAACTGAACGTTTTCGATGGAAAAGTGGTCATCGGATAGCGGTGACGGTCCGTTATGATTATGCGAAATACCTCGAAAATCACACGTAATCGATCAAACATGACCTCCAGCTTTTTCGTTGGCCGAATTTTCCGAGAAATATGAGCGAGAGTTTTGTTCTAACGAATCGGGCCCGCCGGCCGGGCAACTTCATTAAACAAGAGATATTCCAAAAGAAAAAATAAAATACATACTTATACATTTTTTCCATATCATTCCAAAAAAATCTAATACAAAATTTAGTATAAGTACCATAAAAAAACAAAATAATTATCGCGTTACCTTGTTAAAAAGCTAAGTCTAGTCATTGTTTCAAATTATTGGTTGCAATCTAATAACATTATCAAAACTGCCCGAAAAATATAACCGCCAAGATGTATCTTATTTGTTGCATCTCTGTTTGTGTTTACGTATGTTTCAAGCACTTTAATTTCATTTAACCCTCGGCTCAGACTATTAAACATTCCATGGAAAAACTTATCTTTGAAAAAAAAGTGATATCCTGTACATGGCAAAAATTTGTCACATCCACCCGTTCAGGCGTTAATCCTTACTCACTTTTTGAAAGCTGATATAAGACTTCAATCAAAGGAAGCCGTAGAACTGAGCTCCAGGTTAATATTTAATCCGATAAAGTCTAAAAACCCACGGATTATATCCAATGCTTCTTATATGGCGTTTACATTTTCCATCCATTTCTACCATATGCGATAAAATCGGATCAGATAAGTGCTATTAAGGTAATAGTCCTTCGTTCTAATTGACCTACTGTTGAAACGAGGCCGTCAAAACACCGCTAAAGCATACAGGGTGAATCGTCCTCGAGTCGGGCGCCAATGCACTACTCAAATTTATTTTTAATAACCTAGAACCGTAAAAAACACCGAAAAAACCCGCTCGACTCGACCACGTCACAGACATTACCCGTTCCACGGCTCTAGGAATACTTTTACGAATTTATATGCAAATTAAATGTCTCATGTTAACTCGTGTATGCATAATTTCACGTCGATTACGCCTCCCATAACCGGAGTATAGAAGACTCACCGTTTCTTATCGGACTCGGAACGGTTTCGATGGTCACGTTGCCGGTGGGTTCAGGCAACCATCCTGGCCGGGGCTCCTCCTTAGGGGGTGACTCACGTTCCTCCTTTAAAGGGGGTGTCTCGAAATTAGTCCGGGGACTAGGGCCACTGCAGGAGAGGTGTCGCGGTCGTGGAGGCTGCGGAGATGCGCTGCGCCCCAGCTGTGGAAGGCTAGGAGAGGCTCTACCCCCCGGAAAGGTGGCGTTGCGCTTATGGCGCCGAGGGAAAACAGCCAACAACTCGGCCCACCAACGGGCGTCCTCCCGACTCGCCGCCTTGACGAAGGTGACGCGGTCGGGGCTGGTGAGGGCGAGGGAGTGAGGGTGGCCGGTGACCTGCTCGGCGCCGGTCACTTCCAATACTTTCGACATGTCGACCGAGCCCTGGGGGATGGTGTCCGGCTGGAAAAAAAATTATAAAAAAATATCCGCCAATGGTAGTTAAAAAAAAGCTAAATGGAGATTATTTCCCGAAAACTTTCAAGCTGAATAATTATACATGAATAAATTGTAATATGGCATTCTACAGTAAAACCTCTCAACAACGGACACCGATGGGGAATTAAAAAAAATTGAAAAGCTTTTTATTCCAAATGACAAAATAAAATAACAAAAATACAAAAATTCAGAAATTGAAAGCATTACAAAAAAAATAGAGAAAAACATTTTTTTTTAATTTGAAAGAAAATTGTTAATTTTTGTTTGTTTAGACGAAAAGTTCTTTTGATTATGTTTTTGAAGTTCATTACTTTAACTAAGAAGTTTTTCTTGGGGTTATTCTGCATTCTGAAACTCATTAATGTAAGCATTGAATCTTATATAAAAAGTTTTATTGTATATGTTTATAAAACAGTTTACAGTTACCGATAAATTTTTTTTTTATTTATATTACTAATTAATAATTATTGAAGTGGGTAGGTAGGTGGTAATGCAACAAAAACATTTAACTGTACAGGRTGCTGTATTTTGGATGTCCGAATATGGAATCTCCGAAACTAAGATGTTTAGCCAAAAACGAGTGATAGATTCTGTGGCTCATTTTTTGAGAAAATAATATTGGCTAAAACCTCATCTCGCTATCGTCTTTTGTTTTCGACTTATAGACAAAAATTGACATTTTGGCGAAATCTAAAAAAATTCATACCTTTGTTATTATAGAAATTACAGATTTGAAACAAAGACGTTATACAGGCACTTTTTAACTAGGAATTTAATAATGTAGTTAACAATTTTTTTCAGTTATTGGTTTAGCCGTAATAAGATAAACTTGTATTTTTTTAAATGAAAATCATAGGCGGCTATGGCAATTTTGAAAAGCTTATTTTTTTCTGATCTAAAAAATATATATTTGTAACAGAATATTTTTTTATAATCATACTTAAAAAATGAAATACATATTTTGTTTGATAATATTTGGCTATGGAAAAACTATTTCACTCCAAATGTGTAAATAATAATCAATAAGACTTTTGTGAACTGTAAAATAGATGAAAAAAATAGATAAAATTGTAAAAATTTAAAAAATACGATACGGTAGAAGTATTGAACAAAAATGCGAGCGCCTCAGAAGAGAATTATGTAATAATTTTAAAAAATCCAAAAATAGGAAAAACAAATTTGTTAACAGTCAAGACAATTAGAAAAAACGTTTTTTTGATGATCTAATGGAGGTAGGACAACGTTCTACATAGACGGAATTTGAGTATTTGAATAGTCATATCGTCATTTTGGTGTTATATAAAATAGATAACAGATAAAAGTTGATTTATACGACTTATTTGCATTTTTTTCATTACTTAGTACTTAGAAAACCCTTTCATTGGTGACACTGGTTGAATAATATAATTTAAATGCTTTTAGTTGAAGATGCAACATTTTTTCATGGCCAACTGTGAACAAAAATCAAAGATAATTTTTTGCTAAAAATGTATTATAATAATTTGTTACAAATATATATTTTTTAGATAAGAAAAAAACAATATTTCTAAAAATGACATAGCCATCTATGATTACCATTTAAAAAAATACAAGTTTATTTTATTACAGCTAAACAAACAACTAAAAAAATTGTTAACTACATTATTAAATTCTACGTAAAAAAGTTCCTGTATAATGTCTTTATTTCAAATCCGTTTCTTCTATAATAACGAAGATATGAACTTTTTTTAGATTTCGCCAAAATGTCAACTTTTGTCTGTTGTAAGTCGAAAACAAAAGACGATAGCGGGATGCGGATTTAACCAATATTATTTTCTCAAAAAATATGCCCCAGAATGTATTACTCGTTTTAGGATAATCCTCTTAGTTTCAGAGATTCCCTATTCGGACATCCAAAATGCAGCACCCTGTACACTGGCGGTTGCATTTTTGAGGACCAAATGGCAGCTCCATTTTATTTTACAAATTTCCATGGTCGTAACCGTGAGATCGGCACCAGTGGCGGAGTGTTTTTGTTGGTGCCTCCTTTAGAGTAGACTTTAGTACCTGTTTTAGAGTAAACCCCTCTGTCGGTCTGTCCGTTGTAAGAGGTAAATTTATATGACATTTATGGTAAATAGGTAAAATTTCACTGTCCGCGTCCGCTAATCAGAGGGTCCGTTGTACAGACTTAAGAGAGGATTTTTTACATTACATTCCTATGTATTAGTTACGTTCGTACAAAAATGTTCGTTATCAAGAGGTGTCTGCTATTTAGAGGTGTCCGTTAAGGGAGGTTTTACTGTTTATTTTAAATAAAAAAATTAAAGAAAAATTGGAACTCCTGTCGAAGTTTTCTAGAATACAAACTCTGAATAGTCTGTTAATTTCTCTCTTCGTTTGTTTAATGTAGTCTACTATTCTTGTATCTTTGTCTAACACTGAGCTGTTAGGTGTCATTTTTTTATACATTAATGTAAGGTTATAACTAAGAATATTTCGGTTATGGTTTCTGATTGGCTAATGTTTTAAAATGTGGGAACGAAGCAAAAAAGATTTGTCCTGTATTTTCCCGTTAGTTTTAAAATCTATAGGCCATATTTATAATAATCATTTCGCCACCCACTGTTCTCAAACCGGCATCTTGTTGACACGCTTCTATTGCCCCATTATCTCATTCTTCTTTTGATTCTTTGATTACGCATCTTGTGTGAAAAAATCTCGCCCATTGAGCGAGTCTTCTGCTTCCTCATTCTCGAGTCGTCATCGTCCCGGTTGATCGCCTCCGTTTCACTAATACCATGCTAATGTATTTAAAACCATCAATAGGTTGGCCGTTTAATATTTTATTCATGTCGGCATTTGAATGGCGATGGCGGTAACGGGGAGGTTTTTGTCCCACGATCTCTAAACGTATAAAATGCAATGCAATAACAACAACGATACGTGTGAGAAAGGAAACGAGATATCAATTTGCAAGTGCATCGTCCAGCCTCAACTAATACTACGCACTTCTTCGACTCTCGATCGATGTTGCGCTGAAGAAAGTCAACAACCCGAACGGGCGCCATTTACATATTACACTCGTAATCCGAGGCTCAACAGGCATACATTACCTGTGTTTACCGCGACTCATGCACCGGAAATGCAACCTGCCCAGCAGCCTGCATGGCAAACTGTCGTATCGGCCGAATTTATCCTGGAAGCGTTTTTGATGATATGCCATGCCGACTAATCGTTCGTTCGTTCGTTGACCGAAACTGTCACCTGACAGTGAAAGTGTTTCTTTCCACTCATCGTCGATGATATTTTTTTTTACAACAATCTACTTCCTCTCACTTCCGATCGCCTTTTCCGAAATCGACGATCGGTCGACGAACCCGTCTATAATTATATAATTGCGGCATGTCGCTGATGGGAGTTTTAGTAGGTCGTTCACGTTTGATGAAAGGAACAATTATTTTGGAATCCAATACTAAATATTCCAACGTAAAATAGGCCCAAACGAAGGTAAACCCCCGAGAATGTCTGTATACTAGACCCTTGTTTCAGAAACGACTAAGTAAAACTACATTTACTAAATGTTTAACATTCGAATTTTGTACAATTATTTTCAATGTTGTCATAGCTTCTAAAGATTCAGAAATTTTTCCTTTTTTTATTTTGTAAATTGCGGCCAAACTGTGCATCAAAAGTTATAATATTTTTATGCATACGCATCTAGAATGTTCCGAGAAATCGATTGGCGTTGAGAAAACTGCAAAATTCTTGTTGGATTAAGTTCTAGTTGAATATTTTGGATATTCTTCACAATTATCTTTTTTATATATGATAAAAAATTTAATTTGCTTTCCAACGGTACCAAACAAAAAGAACTAGCGTAAATAATTCCGAAGTTATTAGTACTAAACCGCCCAAAATTCGCCAAAAATCGAAAAAATTAAAAACTTCAAAATTGAACCATTTGCACTTTTGGGGATTCAAGAGACTTAGAAAAGTATAAAAACGTTGTGAAAACAAAAGAAATAAATTTTTGAAAATTTTTGTGTAAGTCTGTATATGAATATATCGAATTAAAACACTGAAGCTGTTGGCGACGTGTTGGTGTAGCTGCATAAGGTCCCGCTTTCCGGCAGGGAGCGCCCATAAAAGCAAATAAGAACGAAAAGCATAGTAAGAATGAGAAAGAGCATGAGAACAAGTAAGTGAACAAAGCATAAGGAAGAGAAAGCGCATAAAAAAGCATAAGAGCTTTTTATTTCGGTGTTACAATAGACATTTTATGCGACTGTTTTCAGTTACCGTCTTTTTTGAAATGACGTTTATATGAGTGCCCGAAATTTTTTACATAGGTAAACCCTCTACAGACTGTCAAAGATATTTCAGTAACGAAAACATTTCGCTTGTAACGGTAGTGGTGTCTAAAGAAGCTGCTATTTAAACCTAAATCTAATAGAGATCTTCAGCTTTGTCCGTTATACTTTTTTTCTATCTTCAATCTTTAATACACATCTACTCGTATCTTTAATGCACATGCACCGCTTTCAAAAAATTCAAAAAACATGAGGCGAGCAAAAATTTCAATTTTTTTAATTATAGTTTTCAGCAAAATTTTTGCTATAACATCATTTTTTACTTAATGCCCTATGTACCTTTAACTTTTCTGTTTGTTTTGTCATGATCTTTATTTAAATAGATCAATTTTTTATTTCGTTGCTCAATTATAGACACGCTACTGTAAATACATTGGAACTCCCATAAGAGATTTTGCTCCGGCGGCCTCTTAAAGCCTCATAGACATTTGTCTACCTCTGTATTTCAAAAACTACTAAAGATATTTTTATGAATTTGGTAGCATGTGAAAGAGAATATTTTTTTCTACATTTTGACTGTTTTAAAATTGCGATAGGTTATCTACAAATTGTAATAAAGGTAGAGAAAGTTTGAATAAAAGTGCGCATATTAAAAACAGACATTTTAAGACGTTTATTCAAACTTTTAAAACAGTCAAAATGTAGATTGTTGTATATTAAGGTGACAATTTCAAGTCCGGTAGAAAATATTTATAAATAACACCACTACAGAGGTAGGACGATTTGGAATCGAAAATCGAGTGAGCAGAATATTATTTACAACCCCCACATAAAATGTAACCGGAATGACAGCAATCTGCAATACATTGAACGTAGGGCTATGTTTGACATTTGATGAACTCGTTGCATTGGAAATCCTGTATAAAACTCTTCCTACTCAAAGGATGAAATGTCAGTAAAGATAACCTCTAACTTACAAAATTGGCCAACATTAGTGCTAATTCTCTTCCTTAATGCTTCTTGTAATTTTTACGGAAATACCTTAAAATTATAAATAGTGGCGCGTGTGACTCCTACGTTTTTAAGAATGAATGCATTACAGGGCGATTCAGATAAGATAATGAGCCTGACGATCTGGCGATGCAACCCAAAAAACAAATTTCATTTACGCCTTTGATCCAATTTCAATTAGCATTTGCAAGTTGAATCCAAGTTATCATCTTGTGTCACTTTGACATCAGTACAGAGAACGATTATTAGTGCCATTCAGTTCTCGAGGAATGATATAGAAATTAGGGAAGTCTTTTCGGTGTAAACCCAATACAAAATGTATGAAAGAATTAAACATTAAAGGTAGGCAAACAGTTTTTTTTTTTATAAATCATAAATTGCTTGTCAAAGCACTGTCAGAGCAACATAAGATAACTTGGATTGCAAATGCAAATCGTATTTAAAATTAGATCAAAACGTAAACGAAATTTGTTTTTTGGGTTGCATCGTCAGATCGTCAGGCTCATTATCTTATCTGAATCGCCCTGTATAATTAATATTTTTTACAGAAGGTTTGTGGAATTATCACTTACAGAAAGTTAACAAAACTGCCTTTTCTATTTTTCTACAACTGCATTCGAAAAATCTTCCACGGTCTACTAAACATCCGATGCATAATTCCAATTTCGCCCTTACGGCCCACTGCGCTAACTATACAATCTCCACAGCTAATAACAAGTGTAACAGGTTATGCCCGACCGCAAAACATTATTATAATGTGGCTTGTGCGGCTTAGGTTAAGTACACTTCTTGCAAACTTAAGTCACATGATACTTACGTGTTCGTCCACTGAATAGTTCAATTCCCCGTCGTCGTACAGGACAAACCAACGACGTTGCCATCTCTGCAAAAAAAATACATTAGACACAACGATACATCTTTTGGGGAAGTGTGTCACAAGGAAACGTCGTAACACATCGCCGCACCTTTACGCCATACATGTTGTACAGAGCTTTTTTTCGGAATCTTCAATCCTTAAACGCCATTAACCAACCAGTTGATTAATCGATCCGACCGCAGCGATTTTTTCTACTATCGCGATCGCGTCTATCAATCATAGTGTCATGTGCAAAAACTTAGGAAGTGATAGTACCGAAAATTATGCACAATAGGAAAACTCCTCCCAATTACGTCTAGCGCCTCCTACGCCAAGGGTTGAAACCCCACCCTTTTACAATTCAATTGGCGACACAAGAATGCGCCCCACCCCTTGACTAAGGGTCAATGTTCGCCAATCAATCAATCACTTTCACTATCAGAAAGAGATCATTTCTTCCGAATTGTTCGCGAAAAAGCGACTCCGCCCCTCGCCGGTGAAATCTAATCGAAGAAAGCCTCAGCTATAGGTTTTCACATTGTAGTTGACGTTTAACCCGGCCGTAAATCAAAACAACAACGAAAAAGTTGATAAGTTGTCGAGTTAATTGGGGAATTTATCACGGCAATAAAGATGTTAGAGTGGCAGGCCGGCAAACACTTCAAACGTTTTCCGAGTCAACGACCAATTAGATTTCTTTATGCTAATTGAGTGTGATTAGCCACGCGGCCTATAGACCCATAGAGATACTGCCACCATGAGATAAACCGACAATGATCTACCACTGGCTTTCGCGAACTACCACAGCACGATTTAATGATTTAAATCAATTGCCTCCGTTTATGGCGTATAAACTTGCCAATATACCCAACAGAGAGTCTATACATTTTTTTTCTCCCACTATGAATGAATCGGCTCTCGCTATCAATCCGATTAATTTTCTTCTTCACCTTAAGGTTATTCTGACATTATTTTCGTCCAAAAGGTTGCTCACCTTTGCTCAAACACGGATTATCACACAATGTACACAAGTAGAGTGTAACAGGTTCACATTTTGTGGAAAGTAGTACACGACCATATCTCTTATTTCGTGGTTTGTACAAGAATGTTCTCGATACCAAACCAAACATTACAAAATCATATATCCAACATGTCACCCAACTCACACGCCCTTTTAATTTTTCCCTTTACTGGTGTTCGGCTCTATTTGTCGTCGTTGCGCGAAAGTACGATTAAGTACGATTTTTTTCGGTGCGAAATTTCTCCGCGCGCTTTCACATAACATATAATAAACCCGTAAAAGGTACGCCGAAATGGTAATTTTTCGCCTCGGTGTGGTCAAGCTTGTATACGAAAATAAATCCGTTTATGGCAACGTGCGCCCGGTTCAATGCTCCACTTATTATTTATGTTAGACCAAATAGAAATTTAATATTTTCGCGTGTCATTTCAAATATGTTGACAGCAATAGCTTGTCGGTTTCATTGGCTAATCAAATGAAATGTCGAGGTGTAAAAAACTTAGGGAGTAATTATAGAAGTTTTTCTTTCGACTCGATGGCGTGGAGTAATTACATGTTTGCCGTTTTTGAAGAATGTTAACTCATTGCCTAATCCGGTGGGCTACGCTTATTAAATCGCGCTACGAGAATGACAGCTTGATTGGAGACTTTAATAACCGCTTTTAGTCTAATGCCGGTTCGTAGAAGAGGTCGTAATCGCGCCGTTTTTGGATCAGATGCAAGAAGATGGGAGCAATCCTTAGAAGGAAACAAAAATGAAATTCACCATTTCAACGAACAAAAGTATATGCTACTCTTAAAATTTTACATGGAACGACCTTGTGCCCACACCAGTCTTTCTCTAAAAGAAATAAAAACCACCTTTTAAAGAACATATGTATATATCTTTGTTTTATGTCAATTTTTTTTAATTTCATAACTTGTCTTCCAAATATGTTAAATCATTTTCCTTGAATATAAAAAACATGAAACAGATGGAATAACAACCATAAAAGAGACAAATAAAATCTTTTGGACAACAAGACCTTTACAAAATGCAAAAAAATAAAAACACGTTCTAGGAAAGGAGAGAAAAAAATCACGTTAATAAGTAAAGATCTTATTTTTATGACAAAATTTTTACGAAAAAGTACACAATTATGTTTATTATGTTAATTTTTTTCTTAAACAATAAAAGCTTTATGTTTGACCAAAATTTTCGAATGAATGGGTCTGAAGCTGAAGACCAAGCAAGTATCTGTTCTAACTAGGATGCAAGACCAGATAGAATAAGTATATGTAACGAGCAACACCAAAAAAAAAACCTTTCACACATTAAGAACCAATTTCATAATTGAATTAAAAAGCCTTTAAAATTAATGTTGGTTTAGAATATGAAATTTTTGTCAACAATTCCCTAGTAATCAGCACATTCTAAACAAGATTTAATTTAATATTCCTTTAAGTTCGACTATAAAACTGGGTCAAAATTGTCAAAATTTTGCAACAAGTATAAAATCTGCATAAAGGAAAGACATAAAAATCATCATTTATTACCTACCAAGTTTTAAAAATAGAATATCATCAAAAGGTAACTAACACAAAAATCGCCGCCATTTAGAGAACAAGCATTTTAATTTAGTGTCAAAATTTGTTGGGGAACGACCTTGTAAGTACTCAAACCAATCGATTCCAAGCCTTTAAAATCCATTCTTCTACTAAATGTCCCAAATTGCCTTAGTTTTCTATGTTATTTCAAGGCTTAGATTAGCACAATCATTGTTTTGAAAAGCGAACGTAAAAAACAATTTTCTTGAACAATTCTGACCTTCCATACCCATCCTACACGTGAAAGTATTATTAGTATTAGGTTCATGTAACCTTACTAATAAATTTCTTGTAAATTGTTGTTTATTTGCCTTATCTCGTTTGATTACGTTGATTTTTACTTAATTGGTCACTCGTTGACCCGGCGCCGTGCCCCGTCAGGCGCCAACAAACAGGTGATTGTACATAACGTAATATCGTATTTTTTCATCTCGTTCGATGTGACACGGAACAGAATCCGGGACCTACTTTTGCCCACAAGCGAGCGCACGGTTCCAATTAACCGTTTCATAATAATTTATGCATTGATGGCGATCGACACCGTGAAAAATCGCGAAATCTTCGTCCCATATTAAGACAAGTCGGCGACAATGGTACACCATTGTCGTTTCTTTTCTGCTGTTTATGGCGAGGCATTTCTAACGGTGCCGCTTCTTCCGTTTCTCTATACGTGACCGGTGCTACGAAAAAAAAAAAGAAAACCAAGAGGAGAAAAATTCGGCCTCGTAACGGCACAAATAGAAGCTTTGGGTGTATCGGCGGGATGTCGACCCATCTACGGGATGATTGATGGTACGTGAGAGGGTATTTTGACTGGTTTTGATGGTCCCACCGAAGTTTTCGTTGGCAACCGAGTTCAAGGACTCGCCCGGATTTCAATTCGGATTCTTCGCTCGGCCGAAATCAAAAGTTGACACATACCAACGTGCACGCGTTGATCGGAATTCCAAAAAGGACGGTTCACGAAAATTTTATTACATTGCATGCTTGGTATTCAAATCGACAATTGTGGTAGATGTCTGCATTCCGATGGATTATTGTCTGATGGTACCTCATAAATACCTTTCTTCGTTTTTTCTCTTCTTCTTTTTCTTCCAACCAGACAAGTGCCACGACATAACAAGAGATAATGCGAGCATGTTTAATGAGACAGGTATTTAAGCATGGACCGATAACACACATTTCGGGACCAGAGTGACGCCCAACGTGGGGCCCACTTATAAAAATACTTACATGGAAATTCTATCCATGCTAGTGTGAAATCAAAGGCAGAGTCGGCCTTAAGTGAAACCGGTGATTGTAATCCTCTGTAAAAATTATAATGGAAGGCTCATCTTTTTCCGTTACGTAACGCACAAGACTCGGGGTCACACGAACGAGAAATGCCATTGCGTTGCTCAACTCCACCTGCAAGCCGCAAAATCTCAGAATTGCCAACTTCCGGACGACATTCTGTCATTCGATAAGACAACGAAAAAGTGGATCACGGGAACGAAACGCAACACACATCTTGTCCAATTAATTCATTTCCAAAGGCCCCCGTGCGAAGTAATTGTGCAAGTTAGATTATTATTGTTGCGCAAACTGTGCGCCTCCTCCTTCAAAGAAGCATCTTCGTGTCCTGATGATTAATGACTTCGAATTGCGAAACGTGCGCGAATCTCGATCCATGATGATGATGAATAACGAAAACGATCTTTGTGGCTTGCCCGAAAACAATCGCTACATGATGATGTTTGCCATACTTTTATGGTTTTTATGTTGGGTAAACAGAGATTGCCTGTAATTACTGACTACTCAAGGTTATTTTTTTCCCTCGTAATTACTGAATATTTGTAGCCGAACGTAAACGGTTGTTATGTAAAAATTTCGTGGAAAATTACAGGAGACGAAGGGAAAGGAAACGGTTTTGGTCTAATGAAGTTGAATAGATGAAACAAAAACCACTAACGAAAAGGAAATGAGTCAAAACTGTGGACCACAGCGATTCAATTGAACACGAATCGGGTGCGGATGCTGGCGACCAATAAAAAGAAAATAGTGAAAAATGTGAACCACGACAACTTAAGCGGCTACAATTCGGACATATAGATATAGTGGCAAACTTGAATCGATACAATCTGATCGCTGAACCCACTCAAGATTAAATCGAATGTTTCCAATAGTTTTAGTTGGAAAATAACAATTTTAACTAAGTAGTAGACAAGGTCAAATTTGTTTCGTCTTAACAGCTTTCCGATATCTTAAATTGCCTTAATAACCTTCAGAAATCACAACTTATATAAATTCCACCAAGCGTGAGATAGTAAATACGTCACCGTTGCACATATACTAAATAAAACTTCTCCGAATCAAAATCGGAATTCCACACTACCTCACTGAAAATCCTCCGTAACCGTGAAACCGGAGACGGCAAAACACCTTGACCTTGTGTAAACTACTCCAATTTTGCAAATCTCCACACCTTGCATCTCGATGCAGACAAATTCGCGCATCGCGTAGGTGGTACACGTGTCTCACGGAAAATTTCTTTTGTCCAGACACCAAGTGAGAGTTTTGGCCGTCGACCTTCGAAATTCGCGTGAGAATTACCTAACGGTACTAATTACCCATCTTATCTTTTCGAAAAAATCTCCCATAAATCCACATCGCTCGATAAACAAAACCCATTATTAGGCGCGATAAATCATCGTGCACCCAGCTACCGACGTCCCAAAAAAGGACATTCCATTACAAAAAATCATTCTTAATCAATTTTCCATTCCGCCGTCCTAATTAAATTTATTTCCTTGTGGCGTGGGCATGTAGGTACAACTCGCCCAATTAGCGGCCAGCGAGGGTTGAACGCACGTTCGAAACCTTGAAACTTTTGCCGAATTTTTAAAGCTCTCACCTTCGTCCTGTTGAGAGGCACAGAGAAGTCCCAATCCGGTGCCACGAACAGGTAGCCGCTTCGGGCTATCGAACGACTCGCCTGAAACAAAACATAGATGTTAATTTGGCGCCCAACATGTATCCAGCGAATTGAATTATTCGTATTATTCGTTTATCAATCTTGTTCGCAGAACGATTTGTGGTTGCAAAAAAAAATAAACTTTACGTCATTTGTTAAACTTGCGCTATCCCTAATCGGTATTGTCGTCACGTGGTTGTATCTACGTTTCGCGCAATTACTTTAAAATTCTATTATCGTAGAGAAGACATGATTTCGTGAGAAATTTCTTATCGCTAAGCTAACGTAGCATTATTGAAAAAGAAAAATATTTGGATTCGTCAGGTCCACCCCTGGACCATTAGAAAAAAATTCGTTGTTGCAATTCTGTCTCAATTTTTGTAAAATAAACATCTACCATGATAATTTTCTTTGAGATTTTGCCATTACTACCCATTAATATAATCTTGTTAAAAACATACAGTCCTAGTTGCCTCCCTACCCCTGGTAACGCCGCTGTTGTCGGGCTATTTATACATTCGAGAAATCCACAATGCGTTTCCGGTGACTGCCGACTCCGAATATCAAATTTCAAGCAGTGTATTGTTGGCATGCATTAATCAAAACCTATGGTAAACCGAGAATCCAGCCATGTGTTTATGGGGTTAGTACGACCTCAGTCGATGAGTAACCCTTGTCTGTATGGGTTCCTTCCATATTCGGTTCGAGGTGCGACCAGATGGTCAGAGGAATATTTTCAGGAATCGCGAATGGAAACGACCATTTATGGAAGCGGTTTCTCAAGAACGTCTCGTCTGACACTCCACTCAACTCGAATCAAAAATATTGCCCGGGCGATCTAGCCGGAAATCTATGCTTTCACTCGACTTTCTTCCTAAACAATCATGTTACAGCTTCATTAAAAATTAAATGCAAATTTTTCGCTTGATGCATTGTTCGTACGGGCATTTATAATTATTCTGGTAGCGCCTTGCTCGTGAGGAATTATAAAATTCCGATGAAACGTAATGACCGTCATTTTCAAACCGACGCCCTGTCGTTAAATCGAAAACAGTTAGATAATATACGAGAGTTCCAGTGGAAATGTTACCGAAACGTCGAAGATATGCCGACACCGTTACGATTTATGTTAATGGCCGATATTATTCACGACGGGGAAAAAACGGTCTATTGTAGTATTTGCGACGATTGGACGTATCCGGCGTTTGTACCGTAACCACACTTTGAGATAAAATAAGATCAAAAGTAGAAGAAATAGCGACTAGATGAGGTACTAAATAGGAGCGCGTAATCGTTTTTTCAATTAAAATGTCAAGGAGTCGGAGGAGTAGGTCTACTAAAAGCAAAAAAAAAAAACGAAATCGCTGATTCGCGTTTCGGCGAAATTAAAATAATCACTCGGAACTTTCAAGAATCCATCCGAATCATCAATTCTTCTTATCTTTAGAAATCGGCGATGCAGAAACAATTACCTCCAATGTGAAGGATCACCGGTTCGCATTTCGAGCCGGGTGTAGTCCTTGGCTTATATGGTGTTGTATTTTTTTTCGCAAAACTCCAGAAATGAAATCGCTGACGTACTTAAAGCCAACCGAACAAATTTAATTGTCGCTTGATGATGATTACAAAACTGCAAAGGTCGCCTTAACAAGTGCCAAAATTTCACTTTCCGATAGCTATCTACAAGTGCGTACGGCAACTTTCCATTTTTCAACGCGAATTGAACAATCATGTCGTCGACCGGCAACTCTCGTTTACGCAATGGTCAACGAACTATCCGTGTGAGAATGAATGGCCGCCATATGGTCCGTGCACTTGGCACTAGGAAACCGTCGATCAAAAACCACCGCCGAGACGACGACAAAAATGCACCGGACTCCTCTTAATTGGCGCTTTCAGGTGCGCGACGAATCGCGGAAAAAAGACATACTCAATGGAACCATGACTGGGCAACTATCCGTTAACGTACAGAGCATTAACCCAATTTTTGCGGCGCGACCATGAAACCCATCGAGACACACACCCTGATTTATTTCAATGTATTCAGCCTTGCCCATGTGTCTCTCTGGGCGAATTGCGAACCCCGCAAACAACCTTGCTGGACCTGTGCGTGGGATCGATATAGATGTAGTTTTTCTCCCTTGTGGAGGAAGAAAAAATGCACCAACCTTGACACCATTGACTGTCAAGAAAAAAGTCGACTTTTGTTTCATCCCACGCCGACCCGATTTTGGACAACGGAAGTAATCGATCGATTCGCGTCTGTTTTTTCGTCCGATACGTTTCGCGGTAGGCCTTGATGGGAGCGTCCGCCGCTCACACATTATACACACACACACGCCCGGACACGTTTGAATAAACATTATATACGAATACCGATCATGAAGGCTACAGAGGGATAGATGAATATTAAAAAACATGTGCTATTTTCGCCTTTATTCAAATACAGCAGATGGGTTGATGTTGAATGGGCTAGTCGACGCGTTTTTATCTGATTTTAAGCCAAGAAAAGGTCGAAGATGGAGAAAATTTGGCTATTATCTGATGAGGCGTGACTGAAACTCAAATGTCAAACAAAGACCACATTATTCGTTTCTTTCTCGTGGAAAAGACATCGCAAAAGGTAAATTTCGTCTTACCTATCTCCTCTAAAGCAAAGATTCCGCAAGACATGGGAAGCTTTTCGCACACCCAAATGTAGCAAAAAAAAACCTATATACAATTTTAGCACCAAAATAAGGAAGATCGTTAGGAATTTGCTGTTGCGTTATCACTTTTCTTGACAAAACCGATAATTTTTAATATCGCGATAGGAATGTAAGTTGATGTTCCTGGAAATGTCATTAACTCATGAAATGTCTTTACACGAGTTTTATTGATATTTTTTCGAAGCACATCAAAAATTACTGCTTTAAAAACTAAAAACCAACATTTTGAAAAACAGGCGACACTCCGAATAAGATGAATTTCTCTACTTTCAAAGTTTTTGAGTCAAAATCTTTGTCGCTCAAGTTGTGGCCCTCCAACGTCATTTGTATCGGATTTTTTCGTCGAAATTCGGCATGAAATTAAAACCATCGAAAAAGCAAACGTCCCACTAAAGGGTCAGTTAATTATCATCGTAAGGACGAGATTGGTCGCAAAAAGTTGGAAAAAGCGTAGCGAAAGCGATGACGTTGCGTTTTGTCACCTGAAAATCAATCTTATTAGATTTGGTTCACACATAACGCAAGGCGAAAATGTGTTTTATCGAGGCCAAAAACCGGAGTTAATCTTGGAATTGGCAAACGACCAAATGCAGGCTGCAATGCAGACACAAAAATCCCATCTGTAGCACAAGTTTTAATGTCAACAAAATCGGTCTCTGGCCATTGCAAAATGAATTTTTGCGCAATTCGACGTGACTCCTTTATCTTCGATTGTACGATGCGAAAAAACGAGTGCACGTGTTGTGCAACGTGCGCGATTTTTTCGGTTTGATCATATCCGAAAGAAATAAAACGCTCGGTGCATTATTCATTTCCTTTATTAATCGAGGTTTATGCAACAAAAATGAGAGTTATTAGTAGAGTGATTTGGTAAATAATTCAAAGGTCGCACTGTTTCCGACCGAACCGGATTGTTTATATAATTTTCGTAGCCTCGTTTGGTGTTTTAATACTGTTTATGGTGTTTTCACCAAATTTACTCTAATTTCACGCTCGTTAAATGATCTTATGTCGACGAATCGGTGTCACTGAGTTTGTGGTACGCCAAAAAACTCAGCTTCTTTATTTCCAACGTTTTTTATACAAATATGATGAAATCTTCCAGAATATTTTGTCAGAGTCTGTACGATTTTAGAATGTTTTTATGCAGGTACTCTCGATAAAAATGGTCAGACCAGGTAGTTTGCAACTGTATAACTTCACTTCCTAGATTTCAGGTTTGCCTACAGGTGAACGAATGACTGAAACTTTGTATTGAGGCCCTCAATTGCCCAAACTGAGATTTTTCAACTGCTTTTCTACAAATTCGATATAAGGTCAATGACGTGAAATAAAAAAAGAACTCTTCTATTCTTGTATATTTTTATTTTTACTGAAAAATATTCATACACAAAAGAAGCGATCAAATCGAAAGATTTTAAATAGAATGTCCGATTTTTTGGTCGAATCACTCTTTTATGAATTTCAAATAGCATGAAAGTATTCTACTAATCAAACAAATTTATATAAACTACAATCCTGTAAGTACATATTATTTGGAGATGATAATTCTGTTGTTAAAAGATTATCTTGGAATTAATTTACTTGTTTAAACATTGTATTGTAGATTGTGATGACAACAAAAAATATTACTATAATATAAAAATTAAATAAAACAAAAGAAAAGCAACAAATAATACAATTTTTGATTTTCTTAAAACAGATATGCGATTTATTATTCTTTCTATAATACCAAATTTCCAATCAAAGGTGGTAATAAAGTACCTCCACAGTTCAAAATAGAAAAAATCATTACAATACTAAAAAAATCTGTATTAAGCTTTTTACAATCAAATTTCAATGTAATTCCTAAAAAAAAACATGCAAGTGATTCAATAAAGTTTAAAACCTGTTCAAACATTTAAGTTTGTTTATATTAATTTATTTGTTTTGCTTAAAAGTTTCGAAAAAGGTCTAAAATTAGACTGAATCCATCCAATCACTGATGTAGTCTCATACCTAAATTAAATTAAATTGAGCTTTTTCAGATAACATTAAAAAATATTTCTTTCAATTTTCGGAAATTTCAAAAAACAACATATTCAGTATGTCCTTTTTGGCCATGAAAAATAAATGGATAAAAACGATTTTTCAAAAGCAATTTCCTATTGAACTAAATGCTCCTTTTTAAAAAAATGCAATTGGACGTGCATTTCAAAGATAAGACATTTAAAAAATTATCCTGTCAAGTATTTCAATTCGTATCTGGATATTATATCATAAAAAGTCAACTTTGCGTAATTTATAAATGACTTGAAAAACATTAAAATGAAAAATATAGTCCACAAAAAATACTTTTAGTTGATTGACACTTGTATAAGAACGGTAGACACTAGACAATAAAATAAATCAACCGATTTCGTTTTCATGGCCAAATTAGAAACAAGCTGATATAAAATTCAATTTATAAAACAAAGTAAAAATAGAAAAAGTGATTTGCTATACCTATTATTATTATTTTAGAAAGTTTTTTAGGTTCGATAAAGTGAAAAACATTTCGATTTGCTGTTTTTTAACAAATCTAAATTACGAAAAAGCAAGAAAAATCTCACACTTTCATTTTAATAATTTAGATCAACGTTGGGACAGCGTTACATCTTCATTCTCTGTCATTTCTAAACATAATTTGTAACATTTTTGCTAAGAAATCGAACGTCAAATAATTAATTTACAACAACATCGCATTAAATACTGAGTTAGAGGTATTTAGTACATGTATTTGCAATTTTAATGAAGAACCAATCTCTCTAATTGTGACAAATTACTTCAATTTCCAATTTTAATTCACATTTTTGCAATAAAATCGAAAAACTTTTACCGCCGATTATTTATTTACAAATAAATAATAAATAAAATAAATAGACAGGATTAAACAACCAAAAGTTTGTCGTAGGATTCGTAGGAGTAACATCTAATTATTTTATATTTTACGACCGCAAGACACCTGTTTGGGGTCTTATTTTTGGGCATGAAGAAACTGATTTTATGTCGTACTCTTATCAAAATTACTCTAGTGTAATTTTCACTTTCTCTTGAACTAATACACCTAGTTGCAACTTTGCCCACAAATCCGTAATTTCCTGAAATAATTAGATAATTATTCATGTAATTATGTCCGTTTTCGAAAGGCGCTTCCATATTCGGCTGACTGTTTCCCAAGTTCCCCAATTAGCGGCCCCCGCGTTCATCTAAGCCCCCTCGACGCATTAAAAACCGATTAGGTGTTGCGGCGCGCCGGCCTAATTACAGCCCAGGGCGGGCCCCCCGAAAAGGGTCACGCTCACGAAACCGTGTCAGGATTTTGAGATTTTTTAGGCACACTTGCTTGGAATGTACACATAGCGGGACTCACCCGATTGCATTCCAGGGCTTCAGCCGAATGCTCCTCTTTCTGCCGAAAGCAGTTGGAGCACTTGGTCTTGTGGAAGATGTTGGGCGCGAACTTCTTGCACTGAGACATGGTCACTTGGGGCACATCTCAACCCGCCGGAGGCGATACCAGAACACCGGCCATCGCACAACACACTTGCACTTTAAATGCAAAACGAATTCACCAAAATCAACACTAACTGAACCAAACTCCACGAAAGACAAACTCGGACTGATTAAAATCCGGATTGACGAGTTTTGACTTTTGACATGAGTAATGGGACCCCCACCATGAAATTCTTGCAAACAACAAAACGGACCCAAATATTATTTTTAACAAACAACGACATAAAAATAAAACAATTAACGTGTTTTTGTAGTTTTTATTTCATTTCAGGGCGAAATAAAAAGAGTATTTTTGAAAATTTTGAAACGACCCTAAGCCGACACTAGCGACACCTCCATAACGATTTATTCAAATTAGTAAACTTGCTGTGTAATCATCCAAATTATAACTTGCGTCATTAACAAAAACCTCAGATTAACAAACATAATTATTACCAAAAAAGTATTTATTGCGTACAAATATTTTTTCTTCCTTCAATAATTAGTGTAACCTTAGCCACAATTCGGTAAACCTCTTCACGGAAACAGTTTCAGATTATCCCGAATTGATCAAAAACCGTAATATATCGTATTTAGATCGAAGCTAGCAACCCCGTGTGGTGTATAACTCGCGTTGCAAATACCGGGGGTTCAAAAAATGTAACCTAACCTCACTCCTTTAACCCGACTTGTCATTTCTAGCGACAAAAACCCGGTCCAAAAATGGATGCTGGCGGTGACAGGTAAGCCCCAAATTCGTCAAAATCTTGCTTTCTGACTGATCGCAGATCCTTGCATCCGTCTAATGTGGCTGTGATCCGAGAAGTGTATGATAGCGAATACTCGCAGCAGTGCTTCTCTTTGGAGTTAGAGAAGGCTCTCGACGCTCGTTGTACTGTCATTGTGATAGAACCGAGTCAGTTGGGAGACGAAACGGCCCGTTGGATCAGCGTGGGGAACTGTCTGCATAAATCTGCAGTGGTTTCAGGGATTGGCTCGATTTTGTCTGGGACTATTTGGCCGGAACGGTTCGTGCCCCAGGTCCCCTTTAGCATATTTTCGGCGTTGTGCGCCTCGCTGTACACAGTATCGTGGCAGTTTGACCACTGTGTAAAGTATCAAGTCGAGAGAGACCCTCGGAAGCTGGCAAGACTCCCGATTTTGGGGGCTTTGACGGCCGCTTCGCCGGTTGTTTTAGTCAGAAAAGACAACACGAAGCGAATTGTCCTCCATTGGACAGTGTCTCTAACAGCGGCGGCTCTGTGTGCGTACCGACTTTACCGCACCTTGAAATAAAGTCTCTAGTTTGTGTCTAGTTAAATTATACTGTAGATTATTCCAAGTTAAAACATCGAGTGTTGGTACAAAACACTTTTTTGTCTTCCTTTCCCAACCAGAGGAGGGACAGTATTGAATAAATTCGTTTCACTTCATTATGAAACATTGTTAATGTAAATAGATGTAAAGTTAAATAAAAATACAGTTGGAATTTATTTAAGTTGAGCTTTTTTTGCTCGTTTTACCATTACAGAGAAGTACACAGATGGTAAGTACTTTCGCAGAAAAATCGCAATTCGAGGTAAGAACGTACAAATAACTATTTCCTTCTTCTTTTGGACTACAGCACGTCCAATTTCGGATGCAACGTATTCAGGCAAGTAACCGGATTCGGTTGTCGCGTCCATTTCACCATGTTTTGTCCCACTTCCGGTTAAGGCGTTCCGGGATAATTCCGTCTTGATGTATCCAGGGCTTACAATAGTGACTGATATGTTATGAGCGGCCACTTCTGCCCTTAAACTGTCGCTGAAGGCTTGTAGGGCGTGCTTGGAGGCACAATAAGCTGACCGCTCAGGTAAGGCCACCAAACCTTGTATTGAACTCACGAAAACCACTTGTCCTGACTTATTTTTAATCATGTTGGGTAACACAGCTGAAAAGCAGTTTTTTTTTTTCAAAAATTAAATGATAAAAAACGCAATAATACCTTTAGTCAAAGCAACAGCCCCAAAATAATTCACTAACATAATTTTAATATCAACATCAGGCTGCGTTGTAATTACAGAACCTCTATGGGACACACCCCCGTTATTTATCAAAATATCAATTCTGCCCGTAATGGCCAAGATTTTTTCAACATGGGAGGGTAGTGAGTTGATGTCACTTAAATCAAGAGGCTGTATTATGGGAGGAATGGTGGGCACAGTGGGGTGCGTCCTAAGTAAATCCGAACGGACACGCTCCAATTCTTGGCGACGCCTCGCACACAAGACAACCTGACACCCCTGTTTGTAAAATTCATGAGCTAAGGCTTCGCCCAGGCCTGAACTGGCGCCCGTAATTACGACAACCTGTAATAATGTGATTACTGAGCGTAACACAAGACAACTCCTACCTTTCTCATTAACGCATGATAATTACGTTTCAAACACACAGCCCTACAAACCTTAAAGACAATCCACGGTATTGTCAAGGCAAGGCTTAAAGACCCGAAAACGCTCAAAGATTGATATAACTTTTTTCCGTCTAACATTGTCACCGAATAAAACTTTGATCCTTTAACACTTATCTCATTATTGAACAATTAATTTTATCATTGATTTCAAATAGGTTTTGTTTTGACATTTAATTTGACAGGTGATAGGAATATGACAGATGACGTAATCAAATCAAAACGCGCCAAATTTAAAAATTCCCAGCCTTTATTTAAAATTAAACAAAACATACACAAAAGTTAACTTGCAGCGCCATGTATTGTAGCTTGTGCTTTCGCCATGACCTCCCCAGCCCCCTTACTTAACAAACTTTGGGCAAGTCGGACCCCCAAATCTTGTGCTTGTTTTAACGATTCCAGTGGCGTATCACTGTGGGGGACAAGCCCACAAAATGTATTGGAGGCACTCGGGCCGGCCGTAACTTCCGTCAAATTTCCCTTCTTTGTCTCTTTGCGAAATGGACACTGTTTCAATAACTCTGCCTCTTCTATTACTCCATTCGCAGAATATTTTCCCATGTTTGCCTCCAGATAGGGACATTTTCCCATGAAATCCACACCAATGGGTAACGCCACCGGACAATGCTCATGAGGATCATTCTTCAAAACCTCGACCGGGATTTCGTCCAATTTTATTTTTTTAGACGGGACTTGATTAGGACAAGTGTCGCAACGTTTCAAATTCTCGATGTCTCGAACACAGGAAGCGTTCTCGTTGCTAGTATTAAAAGGACAAGCCGCGCATCGTGGTGTATTTTTAAGGTCAATTTCGCAGTCTCCAGTTTCGATTATTTCATCTTTGCCATCAAGAGACCACACAGCACCCTTCAGTTTTAAAATGTATTTGTTGTCTTTTACTCGGGAGAGGTCGGTTGAAACTGCGACAGGTGCACTACAACCTCCGCCGAGAGTTTTAAGAAAGCTACGTTCTGATATAACACGAAGGGCTGTTTGGACGTCGTAAAGGGGCTTCAGAAGCTCAATAATTTTTTCGTCCAATTCGCGACATTCTACAGCCAAGGCTCCTTGACCAACAGCGTACAGAAGTTCCTCAGAATCTAAAATCTAATTTTTTCTTTGGAAAAATTGCTTCGATAGAACTACATGAGGTTTTATCAGGTCATTTAAGATAATTAATTTCTATGTTTATCATCATTTTAGTGTAAAATACAACAATGACAATAACAAGATGATTAAGTCCTAATTTGTGTGAAAAATAGTGCTTTTTATAAGTTAGATAAATGAGGTTATGTCATCTTGTTTTTTAAAACTCATAATTTTGATTTTATTGCAACCTTCTTGTGTCACTCATAAAATGATAACAAAAATGACACTGTTACACGTTAATTGGTGTCAAAACTACACGCAAAGATAGTAAAAAAATGAAGTTGGGTAACTAGTGACAAGACATCAAAACCCACCTTGCTAATTCTGCTAGTCCACCCCATCCTAATAAGACCTGCAGAGGCCAAAATAATTCCCTGATATTTCCCCAATTCATCTAATTTCTTTAACCTGGTATTCAAATTTCCTCTAATGCTCTCAACTTTGAGATGGGGGTACTTTCGAGCTAATTGCGCCCCTCTCCGTAGGCTAGAAGTTCCAATTACACTTCCTTCTGGTAAAGTCTCTAATAAATACTTGTCGTGATCTTTTTGTAACACTAGAGCGTCCCGCGGATCCTCTCTAAAATTTACAAAGTGAAGAAAATTGGGGAGACAACTGAGACAAACCTAGTTAAAACAGCTCCAATTGCCATTTCTGGAGGTAGTGCAGTTGGAAGATCTTTTAATGAGTGGACAACAAAATCTACACAGCCTGTAGTAAGAGCAGATTCAAGTTCTTTTGTGAAGAGAGATTTTTCACCAATTTTTGGTAAGGGTATGTCTAGAACCTTATCTCCTAAAGTGCTCATTGTTACTAAAAATTTTATTATTTAAATTAAATAGTGCTTTGCAGATCTTTTAATGAGCCTTACCAATTTCAAAATCCTTTTCAGGGTGAATTTTTTTGAGCAACGAAATTACATGTCGGGTTTGAATGAGGGCCAGCTGAAAATGTCAAATAAATAGGGATTCACAATAACAAACACACGTAATAATTACCTCGCTTTTCCGGGATCCAACCCGGATTTTCTCAGTCTCGCTCATTTCTGTGCTTGTTTTTTTGTCTAGGAACAATTACAGCAATCACATGATTATTTTTTCATGCTGTTTCATTAAAAAAGTGCCTTATCACTACTATCACATTCTGCACAACGTAAGTGCTGATGTCGATGAACAATCAACTTTCCAAATTATGTAATTAGAGAGAGACCTGTAATTGGGTTTCGTGCGGGAGAGAGAAAGAAAGAACATAACCTCAAAATTATTTTACTTTTGTAGCCTTAAAAAACTTTTTAAATCTTACAATAAATTAGAATAAAATTTGGAAGTTTAGGGCCTTAAACCGGGGGCCTTCCTAAATATTGTAAACTGTTCCAAATACTGATGAATTGTATCAATGGGAGTATACAACTCCTGCATCCTATTTTGCAAATACGGCGGGGGAGTTGCAGGCACTGACGACCCCAAAAACCCCTGCAAAAACTCGCGCATCAATTCCCAACACATTGCAGGTACCACACATGGCCTGTACTCCACTTCAACTAAAACACCTTTGAAGTTCTGACTCACAGTCACTGTTCCTAATTTTACACAAAAATCACCGATTTCATACCGCGGCCCCTTTGATTCGGCTTTGGTTTGTTTTTTTGATGAATAAAAGCCGGACATTTTCATCATAAGGAGGTCGAAAAGACCGTCAGTTGCTAAAGGAATTGTTTTTTGGCCTGTCTCAAGAATCGAGAACACGGTGGCCGGCTGTTCAGAGTTGTGGAGGACATGAACGGTACGTTGGTGCCCCAAAGCGGCACAAGAGGTGTACGTTTCGCAATCAACGAGAAACTGACCCTGTTGGAGAGCCCCCAGCGCGGAGATTCGTTTCGAGAGGAGCTCAATGGTGGAGGGTCCGGTGCGGTTCTCTGTGGGAAACTGTTGTAACACTGTGACCCCCATCGTAATACAACTACGAAGATAAAAAGCGGCTTTTTGAAGGGTTAAAATGAGGTTAGATTGTTTGAATGTTTGTCAGTAGTGCCAACCTAGATGTCAAATACTAGAAAGACGAGAAGTGTCATTGATCCCAAATTTTTTATCTGTTGAATGTAAACATTTATTTATATTCAAATACCTATAATAACGTTATGACTGATTTTCAGCGAAGAAAGTTTTTTTTAAGCTTAGTTTTATTTTCAAAAAACCTTTGGCAACTGAAATTCCTAACGTGGGTACCTGCGCGGCAAGTTTCAAATTTCAAACTCATGGAATAAAATGACTGGGTTTAAATAAAACTTTTATTATAAAAGTGTCATTTCTACAAATAAATAATTCAAGGCGAGGTTTTCTCACAACTTGACAATGGTAACGTCCCTAATTCTTCATCGGCATATTCTTCAGCGTGCCTACAAAAATAAAAGTCAATTTGTGATAACCGACCCAAATAAAAAAAACTTACTTTTGCTTAATTTTATAAATGTAAAAGAGAACTATAAAATTTATCAAAAATAAAGCTGCTATGAGCAAGGCCGGTGCTAAAACATCTGAAAAAAATCCAAATCGTAGTTAAAACAAGTAGTGAAAACAAATCATAAAATACGTTACCAGAAACCATTTCGATATTTTTCGATTTTCCAATGTCTTGAACGGTTAGCAGTGGCTTTAAGCGAAGTTTTTCTGAAAAAAGAAATTTAGTCTTCCTCACGAGCCGCCTCTGACTCAAATGACACTTCAACAAGTTCAGAAGCGCTATTACGCTATTCGATAACAACAAAATATTTTGATATTAATAATCATTTTTATAACAATATAACCTCAACTGGATTTTTACATGAGACGCAAAAACTGCAATTAAAAGAAAGCTCTCGAAACACTCACGAATTCGCCTTGTTAGCAAACTCCGACAACTTCTCAGAACTCTTTTATCCCAAAAAAACGCCTCCAGGTAATCCACGTGGTTTCTACTACACCGTTTTCAGTTGCAACTGAACATCACGAGAGAGATAAAACAATTTGGAAGGGTTTTGTTGGAAAGAGACGACAATATGTCAATAGGCAGAGGCGTACACTACATAATTAGATTTTGTTTGTGAGTTTCATTGAATTCGAAAATATTATTGTTTTTGTTAGGCTTACGTTTAGTTTATCTTTGTTCTATCCTGATATAAATCAGCGAACTTGCGCTTGATTTGAACAAAGCACGAAATATGGAGTTTCAGCGTTACCTTTGTTCACAACACAACGCGGCGGTGTTGTTTATCTCATTAAAAATAAAAAAGGAAGGTCGAAGGTCAATTTCATTTAGCGTCGAAAGGAAATTCAAACAATGTTTGATTATTTTTTACTTACTCGTACAGTTAGGTAGGGGCAGGTCCACGTCCCATTTCGTCCCCTCGCAGTTGATGATTTTGGTCCTTTGTCCGTCGTCTTCAAAGGCCCGATTGATGCAGCATCTGTACTCTGCAGCTGTCTCGTTCCGATAAACCAGATACCCGTCTTCAGGGGTGTCGGGGGTGGGACAGCCGACGGCAGTGTAGTGTATAAGCACGCCTCTGAGAGGCACTAGTGAGTGTGCCGAGACGAGAACAACCTCCACGAACTCGCTCTCCGACACCACTTCCAAAGGGGGTTCTTGGGGTTTGCACGTCGTTTGGACCAGTTGACCCGAGTCGAGGATCTCAAGCCGGTCGCTGCATTCGTCAGGAGGAGTTACCCTGTCGGCTGGAATTTTTTTAGTCGAAATTTTCAATCCCAAGAGCTTTTACCAGTGATGGAAATGTCCAAAATCCTGACACGGATGCGCTGTTCGCGAGGGGCTCGTATCTTCCAGCGGCATTCTCGTTGGCTAGAGTAGAATCGCGGATAGCCAGGGTTGTGAATGAAGCCCTCGGTGGGGAGGGTGGAGCCGAACTCGGGCAGGAGGATTTCGCTGTTACAGAACTTCCTAATCTCGTTTTCTGGAAAATGGTTGAGGGCTTAGAGGGGCTAATAATAGGGATTATGAAAGTGTGTGTGGTTTTCGATATCCAGGAGATTGGCCGATTTTCACGCCAGGTTTGGGCGAGGGTAGGGGTTGGTCGTCATTATTTCTAACTTTCTCACAGATTTTCTGATTTTTATGATAACCACTCGGAGTGGTATATTATTAGATAACAATTTTCATTATCAACCATCAAAACGTGAAAAAATGAAAAGATGAAAAAAATTAATAATCAATTACCTGATATGCAGACGTACTTAACTCTCAGCTGACCAGCCCCCCACAAGTGCGCATCGGGGCAATCCTCGGTGAAAATGAAACTGCAGTGATTCACTCCTGAACACCTACAAACAAAACCGCCATTAGCACCCCCTCAGCCCGGCCCAATTAGCCATATGCTGCGATCTGAAAGGCGATAAGGGGCCCGTGTGACCGACTGTTACACTTTTCGCACGGATCGATGATCCGGCCCTGTCCTTGATCGCCTTTTACGCAACCGCGTTACATGGTGTCCTTTGTCACGGCGATACCTTGACTCAGACCAACGAAATTTCGTCTTCCGACCCTGACCTAGACGAGGCCTCGACGAGGACGAGACCCAATTTGGAGCGAATTCGGGACGCCCGCGCCGAAGGCTGAGGCAAGGTCGAGGCCCCACGTGTCGGGCTGATCGATCATTAGGGAAGATAGCGATAATTGAATCTGACTCATGCTTATATCAACATCAGATAAGAGTAAGCTAGGTCAGGATCGGATATTTATAGCCCCCGAAACTAATAGTTAAAAAAATAAACGCCCCCTTCCCTATATCTTTAATAGAATAGAAAGTAATAAATGAAATACTGTTTGGTACAAGTTCGTTTGTTAACCGGCGATTAACAGTTTTAAAAATTGTCATTGACAGAATTGTATGTTATTATGTACAGTGGGGCACACAGAAAATTGGGCAGATATGTCATTCAGTTGTCAAAATTTCTAAACTATACCTTAGGTCATAACTAAGCAATGTTTGGCATATTTGTCTTTTTGACACTGACAAAGTCGAAGTTTTTGGAATCCCCAAAGTCACTGATACTTGCCGCTGTGGAATAAGGGCTATTGCTTGAGATTTATTAAAAACTGATACAGCTGGCATTTTGCAAAAATTGATATAAGTATGTCAAAGTTAATTTGATAGTTTTGTTTAATATCAATCATAATGACGGTAAAGGTACATTTACATTGACATTTTTTAATATGACAAGAAAAGACTACCCAGGATTCCGTGTTCCCAATTGTACCTACATTACCCACCTTTTATTTAATGCTTGTCTTGGATGCACCGGTGGAAAATAGGTAGGAGCTAAAGCTGTGGTATTTGTATCGTTATAATCGGGTGTGAAATCAGCCTCCAAAACGGCGATGATCGACGTGAGGTGACGGCAGGTCAAGTAGAGCTTGCAGGACTCACAGCCGCTGACGAAGACTGTTTCTGGGGGAAAAGGGTGAATTATGTAAGCACCGTAGTTGAGTCGTGTGAATGTGGCATTTGCAACCTTGCTTCGAATAGGCTATTGTGTCAGTTCTGTTCCTAAAGCCCTATATAATGTTGATACGGACGTTGGCACAATTGCGAATGTTCGTGCCGGATGGAGATTGCACAAAGGATCTATTTGCTGTTTTAATTAAATGTTGGATGATGGATTTGGATAGTAATGGGGGACGGAAGGTGATTGGACATTGTTGACACTTTTAACCAGAGACAGGCCGAGGAGTTTTTTGAAACTACGAGACATATTTTCATTTCGGTGGCGTAATGAGTAGTAAGTAACACGACGATTTGTACAGGTTATTTCAAAATTGGTAGGATACATTATTTATAAAGCACAGAAAAAATAGGAAAAATGTAAAAAAAAACTATCTAATACAAGTTGATTTTTATTTCATTCTACCGCTGCAAGAAAGAACTTTAGAGAAAGAAAGGCTAATTATGATGTCTGAATTTTTATTTTTTCCATTATTTCTTTTTTTATTTGAAATATTAAATTTTTGTTTCTATTTCACTATTATTAGAGTACAAATCCGTGAATTCCTCTCTAAAACGTCCCTACTCCACTGTTTTTACAGTATGTAAATATTTAACGAGTGATGTAAGCACATTGTATGTGTATGAACAAAAATAAATATTATTACAATTAATTAAAAGTTGATACACTTTTACCTAACTAAAATACACTGGCCGCCAAAACTAACCGGACAACTAAAATTTTGCGATTTTTCACATTGCAATATTTTTGTTATTCTTTGTCGGATTTCGACGAATTTTTGTTCGGCTTAAAAAAACTTTTCAGAACATTGTAATTTAATTCAATAACATTTGTAGTTTTGTCTTGGAAATGTTATACCTAAAACACGAGACCACTGTTTTTTTATTTTTTTCATATTGAGCTGTAGTATGCAACAGAGACAAAATTAAGTTTTTACTTATTTCAGATTATTGCCCGTTTTATTCTTAATGAGGACCAATTTGTTTTAAAATTTTATCTTCTGGAGTCCCAGAGATACAAAGCATTAAAGAATACGTTGCTTTTCTAAGATTACTAAATATTCGTTCAGAAAGTAGGCTGAAAATTATTGCTTATGTCACCAAAAGAGCATAATTACGTCTTTGAACACAAATAATCTGAAAAACTTGGAACTTCAAAGGATTACCACAAGTAAAACGGTTAATTATTAGAAGCTTCCATGCGCCTATTTTGGCGTTTTGGCCTACTTAATACGAACATTGAAATTGAATTAAATTACAACGATCTACAAAGTTTTTTCTTTAAGCCAAACAAAGTTCGTCGAAATCCGATAAAGAATAACAAAAATATCACAATGTGAAAAATCGCAAAATTTTAGTTGTCCGGTTAATTTTGGCGGCCAGTGTATATCTCAGAAAACTCAGATATTTTTGAATATCTATGTGCCTAATAATTAAATAATATCTTATGCTGCAAATGGTAAAAATATGTACCTACCCATGTTTCAGCACTAATGAAATAAAACGTTGATAAAATTTTTACATCGCCATAAATAAAATGGCATTTTAAAATTCGCTCCCTTCTGATCGAACATAAACTTTATTATTTATTGTCGAAATGTGAGCCCCCAAGGGGTTAGCGCCGTCACGAATGAAATAGGAGGGTAAATTACAGTCCGCGGTTCACTAATTTATTTATTACATCTTCCGTAATTGATTATTTTCGGCGCGAAACTCAAACAAACCTCGCGGGAGTTTCAAATCATTCTAAAGCCACTGTTTATCTTCTTGAAGTGATTTATTACAACGGTGAAAAACCTAATTTCTCACCTATGTAAGCCTCGGCACGTCGAAAACCCACCCAAAGCAGTATCCACAAAAACACAAACATTTGTAACGTCACAACCTCCCAAGGTATTCCTCCCGACTTTCCCAATCATCACTTGACTTTTCCGCATTGAACGTTCAACTTAGCATTTGCTGTGCGCACTGTTTATTTACACTTTCCACGTGATTGTCAAATTTATCGTTTGTTGAAACATATATCGTCCAAGCAATCGATTACTAGAAAATATCACCCGGACTAATCGCGTTACTGCCTTAATTGGATTTTTCCGATGGTGGAAAATGAGAAATAGTTTGTTTCAGGAGGTTAACCCTTTCCATCCCTTAATCAATCGACGTCGATAAGCGCTCGTTTGGTGCAAAACACCCACGCACTCCTCCACTGACCGACACACAATGCTCCGCTGTAGCCGTCGCGGCGTTCCACGAGGTCGGCCACCCCCACTTTGCCCCAACCCTCCGACGAGGGTGGGTGCCACTGCCCCAAATATTCGCAAACTCTACAACGAATTAAGACCTAATCAATAAATCGCAAAATTTCCAAATTTTTCTAAGCCCAAACCAAGCAAAATACAAGTGTAAAGTAGGGGAGAAGCGCCCAAAATTGACCAAAAAATAAAACAGACCTTAACTTTTCAATTATACCACAGGGTGATTAGAAATTTATGCAAAAATTAGTAAAACCTATTATAAATACAACACAAAATTGTATTTTTCCGATTCCAACACCCCAGATTCTAGAAAATTATTTTTTATCGCGGATATAGCAGCCTAAAATCCTCACTTTGTCTTCTCTCGATTCTCGTCGTGGCCTTTAGGGGTGGCTTTAATTTGGTTTCTTTGCTTATTTTCGCCATTTACATTTCAATAGGGTGGCTCGCCCTCACCCCAAAGTCGTTGCCCCACTGAACTAGCTATTCAAACCGCGTCGTCACGTCTATAGATTGAAATATCGAATATGAGTTGTTTTTCTGTTCTTCGCGATCGAAACTTTGCTTTGATAAGGGTTGATTGGAATCGATAGCTTTATGGACATTCAGGGAATAAAAATATACGAGGGAGTCACACTTTATTTATTTTTTTACGCTTTCAGTGGCAAATTAATCTTTTTTACAAAATTTATTGGTCTAGATGCCCCAAAAAAGCAGAAAAGTGGTCTTTTGTGTCCGTTGGGTTTGTTTTCCGCATCGTCAACAAACATGCATTTTTTTGCATTTTCATGAATTATAAAGGGCGCAACGTGGTGCAGCTGCTACAAACGTAAAATTTCCATTTGTGGTGTAGCTAAACGTAACAAAGTCGGTTTTGCGATTGCTATCTCAGACAGCTTTGAAAAATTTAGTTTGCCGCCTACATGAAATTAAAATTTAATTGGCTGACAATTTGTACCAAGTTGTGAAAAAATCATATTCTGACATCTCTAATTATATAGGATTTAGTAAGCGGAGCTGGGGTAAAATGAGTTTGTAAACATTCTTTATTTTAATTTTTCAGTTACAAAATATTTCAAGGAAAAAATTAGTTCTTTGTTTCTTAAAAAAAGCGATAAAATTTATTCTTGGAATGTATTACATACATTCCATCTCTGACGCAAATGCCACCCTCGTTGATAAAATTCGGATTGCACACAGACCCCAAAACAAACACCAACCCCCGAAAATAAATAATTGCTGCACTAAAAATAACATTGATCGTTTTATAAATATGAAAAAACACTTCCAGTGTATAAAAATACTCTACAAGAGTGGAGGATTAGTTGGGTGTTTGCGTAGTGATTGTAACTGAAGTGGAGTTGGTAGGACTGGTTGTTTCCTCGGGTATGCTGATTTGGAACTGTAGAAGTACCACTAGATAGGTTACCATTGTTGCCAATAGCTGAAATTGTTTCGACTTATAAATAAGGATTCATCGAGGCCAGGTCAAAGACTCACCGACTTAAATAAATTCCTATTAACGTCAAAAAAGCCCACAAGGCTTATATCCGTAGGACTCATTTCTGTGGCCTTTAGGAACATATTGATTTCCTGTTGGGCCTCATCGTTCATCCAGGATAACTCTACTAAAAGCAGCTTTTTTTGAAACAGGACTCGTACACAATTGGAGGCGTAGTGGGCTTCGTCACAAATAAAATACAAAATGAAAATGGCCAAGGCTGCATTTATCGTCAGGCCTATGTCTTTGGTGCTAAAGCCGGCTTGGAGTTGTGACAGTAACCCGTAGATTGTCAACGTTATTATTAAAAATAGGTACAGACAGAGGAAAGTGACAGTGTATCCGGAGGCGTTTCCTACATCTCTTATCAATTTGCTTAAAAGCATCCACAACGAGCGATAATCGGCGACTTGAGAAGACGGCCCAATGTGCTTTAACGCCATTTGGAAGTCTTCAGCGAGTTGAGTGGCCACTTTGCCTACGACGTCGCACTGCATGAACCAAAAGCCCCCGATTAAGTAGATTAAACAGTTGATGTAGCAAAAAGGAACCACCTAAATATAGAAATTTTTTAAAGTATATTCAACACGGCCCAGCTAAGAGCTTCTCTTACATTAAAAGAAAAAAAATATTTATCTACTTAATCATTTCAAAGTATTATAAACGAACAAATCACATTTCCTTAAACTCAATTAATTTATTAAAAGAATTACTCAAAAAATGTTGAAAAAATTTGCTTTTATTCTTTATATACAAATTTAATTTTTGACCACTATTCTCAGTGCATTTTTGTATGATATTACATGAAAAATTATTAATTAATTTAGAGTTTAGGGTTAGTAAAACATATAACTTAAAAAAAAGTAAATTAAATGGTGGTACAAAACAAAGTTGACGTGGGCACAGAAAAATCTTATCGTTTTCACTACCTGAATAATTTTAAAATGTGCCATCGTAATATGAGTGACCACCATAACGCCACACGCCAAGAGCGGAAGTACCACTGTTAGAATCACTGGTTTATTCCCAAAAAACACCGAAAGCTTCTTTTTGGTCAATTTATAATAAATCCTCTCAAAATTGACCCAATCCGAGACCACATTCGCCAACTTCCTTGCCTCGTACAACACCAGTGGATTCATAATAATCGGTAGAAGATACACAGTGAATAAATAATCAATCACTGCCTCTTCAAATCGGCCTTCCTGCGACCGAACTATTTCAACTTTGTCCCACTCGATAAATCCAATGTACCCCATAACCACCACAAGCACCACAATCGAGTACCCCAACAACTCCGGTGCCACTCGGAACATTCCAGGTTCGGTGTTTTTAATCGGGAAGATCCCAACAATCCTCATTAATGCATAAATCGGTTTGAGGACTTCGTAAATAGTCCCATTTCCAAACCTGTCTGTTGACGATTTGTTGATGAACTTGATTGGGGGCGCGGGACCGACTTTTGAGGCTTTGTACGAATCAGCACTGCTAACACCACTTTCAAGGAAAACGCTTCTTCGTTTAGGGATGGTTTCGCCGAGGATGCTCACTGCTTGGTCTTGGTGGTACATTGTGGGTGAATGGATGGTCAATACTGAGGTGGTGAAATTAATACTTCGATTATGAAGTGACGTGTTTTGTTTGGTTTGGAGTAATTACAGACGACCTAGAGCTAATTCTTGGGTTTGATGTTAATTATGGAGAGGTTTTGAGAAAACGGGTCAAGTTTCTTGGGAGGGTCTTGCAGCGATGAATTCATATTTAACAGTTTTGGAAAAGAGGAATTAATAAAAACAACAAAGCAGTGCTTCTGTGTTGAATATTACGTTTTAGTTTAAATTAGTACATTTGAATTAATTAATATTGTGTATCACAAATATTGAAATATTCAAGCAAAATACAGGGTGTTTCACATAACTTTCCGAGGCTTGCGCCTAATGTACGCACCCAAATATACAAAAGTCACAAAACACTGTATACAAAAAATACACTTCTAACTATTTAATTTTTGGAAACCCAAGACAGTAGTTGTCAAACTAATCAATGTTTCATTAATAGTCATAAACTGCAGTTTTTCAGAAACAATTATTATTTGTTCTATCAAGAGACGGCATGTATATGATTCTAGTTTATCTATCTTAATCACTAACTAACTAAAAATGTTGTAATTTTTTAAAGGGTGAGCAAACTAGAGAAGATTATTCAATTTTTCAATATTTGTAATCGAGTTTGTATCGGAATATGTATTATTGATTGCATCTTACAGGCGCAGGCCTCGTAAAATTATGTGAAACACCCTGTACCACACAATAATTTTTGTTAGGATCTTAGATGCTGTCATAGACACATGCTGTCTAGTTTAGCTTAATTTTTGTTGAAATATGAACCTGACTACTGCCTTGGCTTTCTTTGCCTTGTCGTTTCGATTAAAAAATATGGATTTGCACCTTTAATACGTAAATAACAAAAAAAAAACAAGAAATGTCAAACTGGCATTTTCACATATTTTTTCTACTTATTTAATTTTTTTTTTTTTGAAAAAACTTTGACCCTTAATTTGTTTGACCATAGAATATTTATTTACATTCTCAAGTGATTCTTATAAAACGAATAACCCTTAAAATGGATCGGCCTGTATTATTTATCGCTTTGGTTAATAACCTTGTTTATAACTATAAAAATGCGCTATAATTTTTTTAGAACATCATAATATATATCCAATTAAGCCCAAGAAAGATCAAAAAACAATATAATATTCTTATTAAAAATAAAACAAGTAACAACTTAGAATATGGAATATGGCTTATTTCGCACATGTGAAAAAGTGTGTCTCACTAGTCGAAGGCTAGTGTGACAATTCCACAGACTAAAATTTTAACAACTGTCAAGATAACGCTACCTGGGACCATTCTAACATTGGTATGGYACAGTAGTGTAACAGAATATGAGTATTCTGTAATAATTATTAATTAAAAATCAACCAAGAATATTCTAAAATAGTCGTAGAAAAAGTGTGTTTTATATTGTAAGATCATTAGTTTTCGCGGCCAAAAATTTAGGTCTTTTTGGCTAAACGAGTCGACGTTTCACTCGCTCTTGTAAGGGGCCTTTTTAGAATATTTAAAAAAACAGCACAATAAAATAAAAACCTAAGTTTTTGTTTTACACTAAATTAGCATTTAACGTAACAGTTATTACTTTATCGTAATACCTAATTGACTGTTTGACATGTTTTGTCAAATGTGTATTGTTGGTTGCCTAAAAGCATGGGTTCAATTCACTTATTAACTTATTATATTGCTATTATTATATATTAATTTGTATTGTTATTCTTTCTACAATAAATAAGAAAATAAATTATTCAATGATATTATTATTATTTGACATACATTTTTAATTTTGTTTTTTTTTTGAAAATTGTATCAAATAATTACAGTAGTAGTTGTATTCTAACGTAGTTAATAGAATATCAACAAATTGAGATAACTACGGGGTCTGTACTTACATATTTTTTGACTTACTCTTTCCTACTGTCAAAGAATCAAACTTGCCGCCATCCGCCATATCGTTGCGTCAAACATAAATAAATATGGCTGCCGTTGTAAAGTCAGTAATGTAGCGTTGACGTTTTGGTGTGTTAATTCAAGTTTTAACCACTTGTAAGTATTACTTTTACTTTTTTAGTTTTTTGAATACTATCTTTATCGCTATGTAACCTCATATCCCCGTCTCATTTGACGATATCGACCCGCCAAACAGAGTTAGAACGAGGGACCGTCAAAACCTTTACCCGCCATTACTCAATTTGTTTTGCTACCGCAGAATCGGACTCAGTTATATAAACAGGGTGTCCCTGTCAAAATTCTCGTAATTTCACCCCTGAGTTTCTTAGTTTTAACAAATTTTTAATTATGATGTGTTGAGGTGAACGGCACTCGCTAAGGCTGGTCCACATTCGAGACGAGTTTTATGACCGGTAGTAAGGTTAGTTTTTATGTTTACAGAACATGCCGAAAGACAAGCAGGTGAATCGGACTCAGTCGAGACGTGCCGCTAGTAAGGAGGCTTTGAAACAAATGCATCTGTTGCTGGGAGCTGATAGTAAATATGAAATATCGTCTGATGACGATGTAAGTATCGAGTCGGCGGCCATTTTGTCAGACCGGCCAATCACAGGGCTTATTTGTGGTGACGTCACGATTTCTAATGTCACTTTTTAGGTTATAGAAGTAGACGTGCAACCACCAAAGAAGAAGTATAAGTTAAGTCACCGGAAATCGTCGGACGGAAACGGTAATTGTTACATCACTTTATTATGATTTTTATTTATTATGATTTTGACAGATCGTGATGTCATTGTTTTAAAACCCATCGACGAAAGTGTTTTCGACTTGGAGGTCGTTGTAGAGGATTTGGCCCCAAGTCAGAAATCACATCTCGAGTTACTCCAAAAAGAAGCAAACGAAGTCGAAACAAAAATCCAACAACTTCTAACCACCCCCAACACCGAAGTCATCTATAATGGGGTCTTCACCACCGCTGTCGAAATCACCGAACAGATACAGACAATCCTCGGCTCGGCCACCCCTGGTGCCTCCACCACTCAGTTCACAATCACCAACCAAACCCCACTTGCCGCTCCGCCCCCCGTACAACAACCGGTCGCTAGTCAGAGTCTAGTTTTGCAGCAGCAGCCGTCGTCTACCAACAATGCGATCCCGCAGAGCTACCAACTGGTTATGGACCCGCGTCTTGGGGTTATCGTGGGGGCGGTATCCACGCCGAACGCTAATACCAACACACCGCCCCTTTTGTACCAACCCAAAGTCACAATTCCGTCGTCGGGAGCGGCGACCGCCACAGAATCGCCGACGGTCAAAGCAAGGCGCGGCCCGATTTTGAGACAAGTGCCCTCTAATGCTATCCCACCGCTGGCTAAGGCCACTCTGGTCTCTCAGAAGGCGCCGGTGGCGGCTAATAAGACACAGAATAAGATTCAGGTCAAGCCGATGCTGGGGAAGGCGATGCAGTCGAAACCGAGTGTAGCTCCCAAAACTGTCACGGCCCCACAAAAACCCATTATGCCGATAAAGGGAAGGGTGAGTTGCAATTATTTATTATTTAAAAAACTATACAGAGTGATCTGTTTTTATCCAAGGAATTTTATTCTTTTACGTTTAAATACCACGGTTCTTGAATCAAATACAAGGTGATACACGAGGAATAATGAGCCTGACCAAATTCTCGATGCAACCACCATTACTCTTCGCAAGTTAATTTGCGACCACTATAATGTTGGTTGCATCGAAAATTTGGTCAGGCTCATTATTCCTCGTGAATCATCTTGTATAATAGTATGATACTTTTTATTTATTTTAATAAAGAATATTAATCTGAGACAATACATAATTTTATGTACAAGAGAGGGGACTCAATTCATACGGACAGTCGTATAAATCGATTATCACTAAGAATTTAATAGAATTTGGTGCGGTCTTGAGTTTGATTGGTTTTTAATATTTTTGTTTAGCCTCCGGCCACCACCTCCACAAGCGCCAATTTTCGACCAACCGAAAGTAACGTCGAGGGTGGCCTAAGTATGGGTACAAGACCGTCGAAAAGTATCGATCTGACTGGCGAAGATGGCCGAGCGTTGCCCGACAGCCGAGAGGTGTCTTTCAACAAGCTTCAAGGACGTACATACCCGTCACTTGTCGTAGTCGCAAGACCGCATCTTCGTGTCAAAGATTTAGCTGCAGATAGGAGCAAACTAGACGTAAAAGTCAAAAGTGTGCTTATGTATCCGCCTACAAAGTTTACTGAATGGTACTGATCGCTGCGTTTTTGTTTCCTCAAGTTTAGTTTTGCATTCAAGGTTGATTCAACAAGGCTTGGTCCGGTCCGATCAGAAATGTTCGGTGCATGCGACAAATCCGCTTAAGTTGGGGATGTATAGTGATGCGTCGAAGTTTCCGTATTCAGGGGGTTATGTGTGGATTTCAGAGTGTTGTCCCCAAAGGTTTGTTTCGGTTTTCAGTGGGTCTATATTCGAGGGGTCGCAACATCCACCTATGGCGATTTTGAAACTTTTGTATCATTGGTGTTGTCAGACGATTGTGCAAAATGTGACCCAATGGGTAAGAGGCGTCGTATGTTTAGTTCGACCTTGATATTTTGATTGATATTTTTCAGGTTAAAGTTGATAATCTCTACGTCAAAGGTATGTACACTTGGTTGCGTTCCATTTGTACCGTTGCAATATATACCCATATTAAACAACTGGGGGGACCAGGGGTCAAAGTTCAAATCGGGGTGATAAGTCTCGGGACTACATCTCAAGATGGAAACAAGCGGGAAGTCAAAGTGGAAGTTTTGGGAATTTTGGAGACCACTACCAAACACATAAGACTGCGAGCCGTGGAACCTCTTAACGACATTGAACGAAATTACAAGAAACGATTCTCTAAAATTCTTGAACCGGTTTTCAACTGGGTGCACCCTCAAAGTATTATTGTAACAGATCTGACGGTTGATAAAAATACATTACATCAACTGGGTTTCCTCCACGTCCAACAAAACACTTCCAACGACTACGCGAACAGCAACCGTACTATAATGGAGTACCTGCGACGTATAGTCCCTCGAATGTTCCAAAACACTTTATCTCTTCTCTCCCGACCCATAATCCAGCAATTCCTCGACGAATTAGTGTGGAGAGAGTGGTACGGTACCACCGTCTTGCAGTGTTTCGACAATATGGTTCAGCATATCTCGGAACAGACCCGGTTCGATTCGGGTACATCACTCATAAACCGTCTGAACAAAGTTAGCGCGAATCCTTTCAAAAACTGGTCGATTTCGACTCAGAGTACCTCTACCCCTTCAAAACCGGTGGAACCCACTCCGAAGCGGTACAGCCGCCTTCGCAAACCGGCGCCACCTCAACCACCTCCGGTACAGGAGGTAATCAGGCCAAGTAAATCGATTTCGCCGGATGTACCTGAACAAATGGTACCTCTTGAAAATTATTACTACGGTACTATTTCCCCGACTTCGCCCTCCAAGAATAAAACTACGATTAATATTAAGTGCCCCTTCTGTAAATTGACATTTAATACGAATATTTCTCTCATGAATCATTTATTCAAACATGCACATAACGTTTCGAATGATGTCCAGTTGTGTAAGTACTGTTTGACGATAGTACCATCAGCGAATGATCTGCTCAAGCATATAAACACTGCGCATCCTGATGAAACTAAGTTTGACAACGGGTTCGTGTGTTTAATTTGTGAGTCTCACTTCCGGAATCCTTTTATACTAGGAAAACATATGTCAAAGGAACACTGCCCTTCCGAACTACCTTACTTGTGTGGTACCTGCGGTTTTCGGTGCTCCAATCACAAGCAAGCTGTCGATCATTTCTACCAACAACATGACCACGGAACGACGATTCAATGTCCGTTCTGTCTTAAATCGACGACGATTTACTCGGGAGGGAGGAACATATCGCAAAATATGAACTACTTCATTCAACATTTGCAAAAGCATCAGAAAAAACAGTTGGCGAAACGGTGCGGCAGGTGCACGCTTTGGTTCATCCAGAAGGAGTTTCTTAAAGACCACCAGATCAAAATGCACGTTTCACAAAGGGGTAAACAAGGATTAGTACCTGCGTTTGCACCAAGAAACGGCGTCATGGTACCCAAATCAAAGATGGACAAGTGGCCAGATGATGCGAAAGTGATCAATTTTTCGACTCTGTATTTCAACGTTAACAAGAATCTCAATTGTAAAGAGTGTGGACAGTCGTTAAGCACAGCTAAACATTTTGCGTAAGTGTTTTGTTTTTCTTTTATTTTACGAAATTGCCTGATTGGAGGATTTTTTTTTAATTATAGGTCCTTTGATAGTTGTCAGAACCCTAACTGTCAATTTTCGACATGTTGCACTACTGCCATGCAAGACCACGTTGCCAAATGCAAATTTCTCAATTCGAAACTACCGGCTGAGAAGCTCCCCTACGAGATGTTTTGTATTTGCGGTTATAGCGATATTGATGGTAATTTTATTTATATTTGATTCGTAAAACTGTTAATTCGTTTTCATAGGTAACATGATGGCGAGACATTTGGCGATTTGCGAGCGTAAATCAGCGTATCCGTCTAAAGACGCCGCAAAAGAGGCCACCGTCACTCATAGTATGCTTGATGTTTTGGGTTTGGTAAGAAAACCGGAAGAGGCGACGTCGAGTAAAGAACCGCCGCGACTTTTGCCGAGAAGATCGGAACCGATTATTCTGAAACATCGCGGTAGGCCGAGAATGATTCCGTTAGAAATGAAACCGTCGCCAAAAGAAGTTATTGAAGTGAATGATGATGAAGAACCGGTGAGTATTAGTGAGGTGAGGGGAGAAGTTGAAACTGAAGGAGAGAAGAAAAAAGTATTGACTGATATTGAAGAAGTTAAAGAAAGTGAAAATAAGGGTGCCACGGAGGAAGACAGTCAGAGAGACAAAGAAAATGATCAACAAAAGGAAGTCGAAGAAGAAAAGGGTGAGGTTGTTAATAAAGGACAAGAAGACCATAAAGAGAACGAAGTTGAAGAAGAAACAAGTGAAGTTGTTGATAAGGGTCAAGGAGACCATCAAGAAGTTGAAGAAGAAACAAATGAAGTTGTTGATAAGGGTCTAGAAGACCGTCAAGAGGGAAAAGCTGAAGAGGAAACAAGTGTAGTTGTTGATAAGAGTCAAAAGGACCATCATGGAGTTGAAGAAGAAACAAATGAAGTTATTGATAAGGGTCTAGAAGACCGTCAAGAGGAAAAAGCTGAAGAGGAAACAAGTGAATTTGTTGATAAGAGTCAAAAGGACCATCAAGAAAGTGAAGAAAAAATAAATGAAGTTGTTGATCAGAGTCAAGAAGATCAACAAAAGGGAATAGTTGAAGAAACGTCGAATAACATTAAGGGACAAGAAAACCAGCAAGAGGAGGAAGTTGGAGAAGAAAATAGTGAAATTGTTGGTGATGGACAAGAAGACAATCAACACAAAGAAATTAAGAAAGATGAGAGTAGACTTGTTGAAAATGAATCAGAACAAGATTGTACGGAAAAAGATGAAGTAAATCGTGTGGAAGAAGAGGAGATAAAAGAAGACAACGAAGCTGTTAGTGCGAGTACTGAAAATGCAAAAGACGTAAATGAGTCACAGTCTGAGACAGTTGAAAGTGAAAATATGGAAGTTGACAGTTGTAATGATACAAGCGAAACAATCAGAATAGGGGAAACGCTAGCAATAGAAAATCTGATGGAAGAAAACACTGAAACTATTAATGATATCTGTCCTATGGATACAGACTAAAATTATAAAAAGTATATTACGTTTGTAAATAAAATGTTATTGTTCAAGACTGTAAAAAGCTAATTGTTGCGAACATAGTGAATTAGCGTTTGTGTTTTATTCAAGCTCGTTTTTCTTTTATAAAAGCAGATTTTTTTATATGCTTATCACGTCTGTTCTGTAAGGTTCTCTTAAATATTATATTTGTAATACTTTTAAATAAAAAAATCTTCCTTTGAGTTTTATATTTCCTTTTTATTATGTAATACTAATAATTATGAAATAGTAATAGGAATTTACATTAGAAGTCCGATAAGTTAAATATTGCATTCGAATCAGGCAATAATGGAGTAAAATTTTGAATATCGTAGGAGACTTACCAGATGTACAGGGTGATTCAGCTTAAATGACCCACCTGACCCTTCTTGGCTGACAACCCATAATACATTATGCACTTATTCCTTGATTCAAAATTAAATTTTCAAAATATCGAGAATCAAAGAATGTGTCGTCCATATGACAAGTAAAAATTTCAAAACGTCAACGCAGACGACGTCTCAAAATTTCAAAAATGCCGAGATATTCATTTACAAATAATGAAAAAAACTGATATGATTTTAACTTACAGTGCATCTGGTAAAATGCTAGATTAGCCGCCGATTCATACGCTCGGCAATATCCAGAAAGAGTACCTACATCCTACGCATAAAATTTTTAAACGACTGGAAATGTGTTTGTGTCACAATTGGCCTGCAAGTAAGCGTACGAACTGCGACTAGTTTAGAGAAGAAAATTCTGGTGTTGGAGACTGTTGAACAAAATCGGCATATTGGGCAAAGAGCAAGAGAAGTGGGTATAAGCCAATCTTCTGTTTCTAGGATTTTAGAAACTAATAAATTTCATCCCTATCGCATGCAGTTACGAGATGCCGACTTCCCTCGTAGATTAGATTTTTGTTATTTTTTTTGGGAACAATTAGAAAATAATCCAAACTTTATTAATAATGTTGTGTTTAGTGATGTTTGATTTTGTGTTTCGTGAATAGAATCGTGACTTGTGAGCATAGTGCGGGTGACCACATAAAGCATCGACTATGAAATAATTAATTTTTGATTTACTTATTCCTTTTCTATAAAATAAAATTGCGTTTATTCGAAAAATTGACATTGATTGAAATCGTCGTCTGCGTTGATTGACAGTAAACCTTGATAAATTTTTGTATACAACATTTTATAAGCAAATATAATTTTATTTATTTACAAAAATTAAGATTTACATTTGACAGTAATCAAAGCTAAGAAATAGTGGTGAATGAGGTACTACTGGATGAGGGACCTTGGTTTTCAGCTCTGTTTTTCCTAACATTTTAAAAAGTGCAACATTTGATTTATAATTGTCACTTACCAATCTCAAGATTTTGAAGCCACATTCATGTACCTGTTTTATTACATTTATGGTCATATTAAAAAACTGTTCAGTCGAAAGTGTTTTATGAAAAAAGTATCCAACGGGAATAGTGTATTTGGTAGACAATACATGAATAACGAAGCACAACAGTTTATTGGCTAAAATGGGCTTTTTTCCAATTATTTCATTCTCAGTATTTGCAATGCCGTAAAATGTATCTTCTGTTCGACTATACTCCATTTTTTCTTTAATAGCCATGTCATCTACAATAAGGGAACATATTTTCTCAACGTCTTTTAAATTATTGCCTTCAGAAGTTATTCTGTTTTTAATTAAATTAGTCAAGCCTGTATCCCCTTGGGAATTTCCCATATATCTGTCTAAAGTTCTTCTGGATGGAGCTTTTAAAAACTGACTTCTTCTCGCAAATTCGTAACCTTTTGAAGAAATGTACGTCCAGGCAATACAATGACGTACTGTAACTTCAGACCATCTTGGCTTTTTTAGGGAATAAATAATAAATTTGATCAAGTAAAAACACAGCCCTTGGTTCTAAGTCCTTTGCATCTGATTCCACAATGTTGACCTTTACTGTAATTGTCAATTTTTTCCTGCATTCTCTTTAGTTTTTCAAGTTTCTTTTCATACAGCCTATTCAACTTTTGAAATCTTACATTTGCTTCCTGCAACTTTTTTTCTAAATTTTGAATTTTATCTAGTAAGACAAATTTTTCTGCCGAACTTATTGCATCTGAAACATTTTTTAAATCAAAATCATGAGTATCACCTACTTTTAAATCGCTTTGTTGATCAAAATCAAATCGAAATGGATTTGAAATCGTATAATTTTTGTCAAATGACTCTGGAGATTGGCGACACGATGCAGGCGTTTCTAACGGCTTACGTTCTGAATTAATGGAAGTGGTAGAAATTACCTGAATTCAAGAGCAAGGATGGAACTGCATTTGGTAATATTTTTTTGTTTTTATAATATCTCGTTACTTCAAAGTGTTTTCCACAAATCACGGAATTTGGGGGTATATTACCGATGGTACCAAATATTCTCTTAAGCCATTCGTTTTTTTGATTGCTACTTTTTGGAAATTGATGTAAAATAACACCCTCTTTCTCCGCTTGCCCACAGTTTGGAACAAAGCAAGTTCGGATACTTGGCATTTTAAAAATTATAATGTAACGTCTGAAAGATATTGATACCGCGCTTCTTAAGCTGAAAAAATGTATTAGTTGTGTGACAGATCAATATTTTATTAAATGTGTCAACAATTGTGACATTTAATTTCCTGCAAATTTTCAAATTTCACGAATTACAGTTTCCTTTTGAGCGTAACGCGCGCGTCATCTACCGGAATTTCAATCAACGCAGACGACGATTGAAATGTATTGTTGCTGTGCGTGTGACAGTGACACTTTCGATATTTTTCGGACAGCAAACTTTGATTCATGAAACTTTCAAAATTCTAATATGAATCAAGGAATAATTGCTATGTGTATTATGGGTTGTCTGCCAAGATAGGTCAAGTGGGTCATTTAAGCTTAATCACTCTGTATAAATATCGTATTGAATTTTATTGCATACTGTCTAGTGAATGAACCTTCACGATTTTGCTTTTTTTTTCTTTGACTAATACGTCTTGGAATTGTGATGTATCAAATAATTTTTGTTGAGAATACATTTAGGTAAATACCTACGAGTCATTTTGATAATTCTAAAATTTATTGATTTTGTATTTAAAAGTCAAATTGTTGTGAACAGATCCATATAGAAGTAAAATAAAATTAACACGATTTAGTTCAATCATTTTTTTGGTTTTAAAATTAAATTTACAATTACTAATACTACAGTTATTTATACACAACTGAATTAACTAGTTTGACTTTTCTTCCACTTGACTTTTAATTTCTTTCCACGCGTAAAGTACATCTCTTTCTTCAGTGAACCTACTACATATCACAAACCGAACAACCAACCGTCTTTGGTAAAAGTACGGCATCACAAAAATATTCTTCCTCTTCTCCAGTTTTTCTAACAGTTTTTTTGTTCTTCCATCCTCACCCTTTAATCTAAAACAAACTAGCCCCATACTAGCCGTACACACCTCAAACCTTTCATCACATTCGACCATGTGTTGGAAAAATTTCGCTAAAGCAATTTGTCTTCTGATATGTCTTTGTATTCCTTCAACCCCGTAAATTCTCAACACGAACCATAGCTTCAACGCTCGGAATCTGCGCGAATCCGGAATTTGGATAAACAATTCGTTACTTTGGATATCCCTGAACCACATTGCTGAGCAGTCGGAATTGACCAACATCCATTTATGGGGGTTAAAATTGAACGAATCTGCAAATTCCACCCCTTTCATTAAGTGCCGATACTCTGGACAAGCGAAGGCCGAGCCGGCGTAAGCTGCATCGACGTGCAGCCAGATTTTGAAGTGCCGGCAAACGGGCCCGATTTTGTCCAATTGATCAAACGAGCAAGTGCCRGTGGTTCCTAGAGTAGCAATGATGCAACAAGGGGTCAACCCCATTCTGATATCTTCTTCGATAGCCTCCCGAAGAACTTCACCTCGGAGTTGTCCTCTGTCGTCCGTTTGAAGGAGTCTCATGGTCACAGAAGCCAAAAGTCCCGCTTTTTCCACTGAAGAATTCGACTGTTCAGACGTATAAGCTACAAATTTTCCGTCTTCAACTCCTTTTTTCATTAGAAGTCTATTTTTGGCMGCCAGGAGAGCTACTAGTGTGGACTCACTCGCCGCGTTTTGGATAAYGCCGCCTCCGGGGCCCTCAGAACTGTTYAAAAATTCTTTAGGCAAACCAAGGATTTTTGCTAGCCAATCCATCATTTTGCGTTCTAGTTCGACACATGCCGGATTTGGGAACTAAAATGGATAAATATGTAAAAAATGAGTGTATAGGGTAGAGTGAGTGAAGTRTGAGTACTTGGTCGGTGGATACGACTCCCAGGCCTGCTGATAGTAATTCTCCGACTATTCCGGGGTATGAGTTGGCGGTGGGATAATAAGCGTGGAAGTTGGGGGAATGCCAGTGGGTGAGGCCGGGGGTTATGACCCGGTTGAGGTCCTCGAGAATTGAGGGCCATGAGTCGCCCAATTTGGGGACTTCGGGGGGTAAAAGATGTTTTAAATAACCAGGTTCGACGGAAGAAACAACTTGTCTGAAAGAAAGTGTATAATTGGTTGCCTGCATTAAGGAATCATAATCTTGCGCTACTTTTTATTTCCCAATAGAAAATAAGGAGACGCTTTATTTCTTCGTTTTTGATATTATTAATCTGGTACTTTATTYCCTCGAGAATAAAATAAATGAAATCGTGATTTTTACTCTTGAAATAAACTAGAATTGAATCTTTCGAGTGTTCTTTTGATATAAACAAATTCCTTGATATCGGTTTTTACTTTTATTAAAATTGTAATTGAATGAACTGAATATGTTGACAAATTTATAGTTGCGACCAAAAAATAAAATTTACAAATTATAAATTTACAATTTATAGGATTGCCGATATACTATTTTTTGTATACGCTTCTGAAAACAGCTGTTTTATTAGGTCTTTTCCGGACTCAGTAAAATAGCAAAACGGTTCTTTTACGTACTTAGTCCCCAAAAACAGTTTTTGCAGACTAAAAAATAAAATTGGTTACTATGGTAACGAAATTTTTTTTAATGAGTAAGACGTGTGAATTCGTGTTTTGGGAGCTTTAAGAAAAAAATTTTGTGTGCACCACGTACGCAAAAGGTTTTAGGTAACTCCTCTCATTAAAGACTCGGCTCCTACGTCGCCTCGTCATTAATTACGATTCGTCCCCTAAAACCTTATTTTGCGTACTTGATACATAAATAGCTATTATGCAGAGGCGGCAAAAATWCATATTTTATTTATTAATTAATTAAGAAAAACATTTTTTTTTAATTGAGTCATCAAATAATCAATTCTTCCTTACCTCTGTCTAATAGTATCACAATAATCAGCAATATAGTCAACAATTTCTTTCCCAAATTTTCTAAATTCGTCACAGTTCATCTTTTTATGATTCACTACACCTTCTTACCCTCACAGCTTGATTATGACTCTTAAAAACCTCATCGCCATTTACTTTATCGAAATAAATACAATAAAACTTTTATATCATGAGAAAGGCAACTTTCATTCTAATCAAAACTTTTAAATAAAAATTCCATTGTATCCAAAGAAAGTGCAAGTGAAAGTAATTCACACTTAACTAAAATAAACCCAAATTATTTTAAGTGCAAGCAATGTTTATATGTACCTAATAGGTTTATTAAGAGATTCTATCTTGAAACATCTAGGCCCCTATTCCAAATTCCAAAATCATCGGCAAACTAAGATTTTTCATTTTTATCCAAGGCAGCTTTTTTGTAACAGGTATATGTCGAAAAGTTATTTAAGAAAGTTGATTGGAGACAAAATCTTTGGTCTGTATAATTTCAAAAACTTCCGACAACTTTAATCTCTCACATTTTCTTTTGTTTATTTCCCAAATTGAAGAATTTTATTTTAAGAAAGACCGCCAAGGAAAAACAATTTTATTCGTAACAATATTAATATGTGAAACGACTTGATGGTTAAACACTACTTTATTAAACTTGAACTATTTTTTAAATAACACTTCAAGAATTTGTTGCTTATTTTTTAAGGAAATTAACAAAATACTTTGAGTTACTTTGGCGGTAATGTAGATTTTTTGGACATAAATTTAAATAAAAGATGTAAGAAGAACTAGTAAAAGTACTTGAGACTTGTTCAAAGAGAATTAAACGCAAATCCAATTATTCCAAATGATTTTTATTTTTATTGCAACCACCATTATAACAAATCTTACAGAAAACAATAAATAAAACAACAACCACGGGCACGTAAACCCTCACTTCGACTTCTCAACATCGTTGATCTTTTGGCACCTAGCATTACTAATCTCAATCGAAATATCACTCTTCCTTTCAACTTTACACCCCAAAATCTCGTCGGCTTGGCTCGCGAACTCATTCCAAGCATAATCCACGTGCCTTTTCTCCGTTAACCGACTACAAACCGCAAACCGAATCACGTGACTCTCCCCAAAGTGGCCCGCGATGACATAAATTTTCTTCCTCTGTTGGACGCGTTCCAGGAGTTTGACAGTCAACGAATCGTCTCCTTTGAGTTTAAAACACACCAAACCCATACTCGAGGAGCACACTTCGAACCGTTGGTCGCCGCGGASCAATTCCTCAAATCGTTTAGCTAAGGAGATTTGGTGCCGGATGTGTTTTTGGATACCCTCGACGCCGTAAATGCGAAGGACGAACCAAAGTTTTAACGCGCGAAAGCGTCGTCCGAGGGAAATCTGCCAGTGGCGGTACTCGGGGGCCAAGCCTTTGTGTTGGTCTTTGAGGTAGATGCGTTCGACATTGAAGGCTTCTACTAAGTGGCGGGCGTCTCGGACCCACATGGCCGAACAGTCAAAGTTGACAAGCATCCATTTATGAGGGTTGAAGTTGAACGAGTCGGCGTATTCGATGCCTTTCATCAAGTACCTAAAATGAAAGTTCTGTCACAAAATTGCCATAATAAAATCGGGGAAAAAACCTGAAAAAGACTAATTTTGATTACCTGTATTCGGGACAGGCAAAAGCCGAGCCTGCATAAGCCGCATCAATGTGTAACCAAACATTTTCCTTCTGACACACCGGCCCCAACTCCTCCAACTTATCGAAAGCACAAGTTGGAGTCGTCCCTAAATTTGCAACGACATAGCATGGAATAAGCCCTTGTTCCTTGTCCTTCTGAAAAGCCTCCTCTAACGCTTCTCCTCGCAATTGTCCCTTTTCGTCAACTGGTAATAASCGCATAGGCATCGAGCCCAAAAGCCCGGATTTTTCAACCGAAGAATTTGATTGGTTTGATGAGTAAGCCACAAGTTTTCCCTTAATTTYCCCTTCGGACATTTCCGGGTGGAGTTTTTGTATGTCGCGGACTGTTTTTTCTTTGGCGGCTAAAAGGGCCACAAATGTGGTTTCGCTGGCGGAACCTTGAATGACTCCTCCTCCGGGCCCTTCAGAACAGTTGAGGAATTCTTCAGGGAGGCCGAGGAGTTTGCCCAGCCAGTTCATCATCACTACTTCCAGTTCGGTGTAAGCCGGGCTTGCCACCTTTTGATCGTAAGAAAATTAAAAAAATATTGAGAAAAATCGTTAATTAAGTAGTAAATAACTGCACAATAGACTTTTTGTGTGTAAAATTGCTTCAACGAGTTAAACTTGAATATTTTCGAGATTATCAAACTGTAAAGTTACTCTCACAAAAAAATTGTTTTGTTACTCCAGATTAACTGTTGTTATCATTTGCATAAAACAAATTATTGCAATGATGAACAATATTCAATTTTTCAATATACAAAACAAATAAAAATATATGAGAAAAAAAAGTAAGTAATCAATGAAAAAGTTAACAATTATTTTCACCTAAGCAACTTTTGTATTATTATGTGTCTAATTACTTTTGTAATAGTTATTTGTATTACAAGGGACAAAAGTGTCTTTGCTTCCCTGAGTGGTTACAGCCCTCGACAAGTCTTTGGGCCCTAACTTCCACTTGTGAGGAGAAAAGATACACTTTCCTTTCTTGTAATACTACTAATACTACATACTATATATATTCGTATGACAATACATAAAAAAAACAAAGTATTAATACTTACAAATAACTATTACACAAAATGACTTCGGATTTTTTTTTAGAACTTGTTTCATAATTTTAGATTTCTAGGCAATAACTATTATCCTAAATTCACTTTGATAATTTTGTTAAAAAAAACTTTAGGAACATAAAAATTTTGAAAGAACGTAGGATTTCGCAGTCAATGAGATTGAAATCCGGGTCTTTTTGGAATAGATTGCGTCAATTTTTAAAGAAATGGTTTCGTTCCTGATATCGTTTAGAATTTAGATATTGAGTTACCGTGCCATAGCCCTTCTTCTTTTTGCCCTGAAGATGCCCCTTACAAGAGCGGGCGAAACGTCGACCTTTCTTTATAAATTGATGCCCCAAAAAGAACCAAATTTCAACATAGAAATCTTATTTTTTTTTTATTTTATACCTCTTGGTATCATGAATGAAATAACACACACTATTTAACCCAAACACTAAACGTTCATTTAACCACTATGTGTTTCGATCACAACGTGGTCATCCTCAGGTCATCCACCTGAGTTATTACTTGTGGTATTACAACATAATAATTGTTTACTTCAAAATATATTATAATTTATAAAATATCAAAACTGCATTATGCTAACGAAGTGAAAAAAAAACAACTAAAAGTATTACATTACACTTGTGACCTTAAGTAGGCGTAAAGAACTTCTCTCAATTTACAATTATGAAACTTTTAATAAAAAAAAAAYAAGCAGGAAAACATAGCAGAAATATATGTGCTCCTTTTATACAGTCCGATCAAAAAATCTTTCTATCAAGTAGGCGTACTAGTTAAGGACGTATGTCGCTTGGAAGTTTGTATGTCAAAAATTTATTTTAYAAAAATTAAAATATTGATCTAAACAAATTGAATTACTGTATGAAACGTCTTAAAACACCCTAAAGTGAGATGTAGTTGGAGTTTATTCATACAAATCGTTCACTACAATTTGTTGTTACAGTTTACAAAAAAATTATTTTGACATTTCTCATTTACTATTGTGACATTTTATCTTCCGCAGACACACGTTTTAAATTTCTAGGCTTGCTTGATAGATAAACTTTTTGATCGCACTGTATATTAACATTGTAATTTTGTTCCTCATCTTGGTTAATTGAAATATTAAAAATAATGTAGGTATGTGTATATCCAAATGATTATATTTATTATGAACTTTTGGAAATCTATGTACCTTAAGTTTAATATTTAAAAGCAATAATTTAATGACAGATTTAATACAAAGTCAAAGAAGCGGCTTTCAGGGTGATTCACTCAATTCTTTATGTATGCTTTTGTTCAATAAAAAAAACACTTTTCGATATTCTATATTTTCTGGTTATGGGTTCAATTTAAAAAGCAATAAAAGAAATAAGTAAGTTGAATCATTTAATGTATATGAATGACATTAAATTTAATACTGCAACTGAAAAAAAGTAAAATTATTAATTAAATTAAAAGAAAATTTGTTTTTAGATAGGGCTATGTAGTTTGGAGTAGACAAATGTAAAATTCTTGCAGCATAGTTAATAATAATAATTAATAGAGGAAATTATAGAAATTTTAATTTTGCGACTGGAAAGCATGAAAAGATTGAAGACGATTTATGGAAATATTTAAGTCTAAAATAGTTAAACAAAATTCGTATATATATACAGGCTGTATTATAAAAAAACGCGCAGAGCCATAACTCCATTATTTATAAAGATATGACAATACTTCTTAGAACAAAGTTGAACAGTTTCTTGTCATSTATTGTTTGGCATAGTTGCTCAATCAATGATGCTTGCTGTTTCGCCGGAAGTAACATTAATTTCAGTTTTTCAAATGTAACACCCTGTATATTTTATTATTTTTGAATCCCTCATTAAATTGTCTTTCAACAAGCTCACTTCCTATTATTTATCACTAACTTTTGATTTTGGACAATTTAAAAATTAAATTAAGTAAAGTAGGTTGTGGAAAATATAGAACATTTTTATTCATTTTATGTAAGACAAACAAACGATTGATAACAAAAAACTGTGCAACTTTGACCAAAAAAGTAATATAACGTCTTTAAAAGTAATGAAATTATGGCTTGGGGCGTTTTTTTTTATAAAACAGCCTGTATAAAGATAAAGAAATTAGAATAGTTTTATCACGTTTTATAATTTAAAGTCTAAACAAATAGGAAGTTAAAACTCCCTTAAATTAAAAAAAAAATATTATACATTTGCCGTACTGATGTTAATTTATTTGTTTGGAATTATTACAGACAAAAACAAATATATGAATCCTAGTAATAATAATATTTTTCTCAAAGCTATTTCTTTGAATGATAAAAATTTTAGCCCATCATTTTTGAGTGAGTAAATGAAATAAGTTTGAATGAAAATGTAACTGTAGCAAATTTAAAAGAAAGTACATGACAGTTTCTTCCAATAATTAGATAATAATTAGAAGCATATAGTTAAAAATTTCTACAGAAGTTCTTTTTTGAAATAATTATATTTATATTTACATCGTTGAATTTTTGATTTTGAAATTTCCTTGTCGGATTTTTCTCTCCCTTACCCAGCTCAGGCCCACACATCCGAATCCCGCACTCAGCATCTCGCCCACGATACTCGGGAAMGAACTCGCCGTCGGAAAGAAGGCATGAAAATGCGGCGAAGTCCAATGCGTGATCCCCGGCATGATAATCCGGTCGACATCCTGCAACACCTCCTGCCACTTCTCCCCGGTCTGCGGCGGCTCCTCCGGGATCAGCTTGGCCAAGTATCCCGGAGCCACCCCCGCCACCACCGGCCTACTCCTCATTACTCGCCCCTGCACTCCTCAGCGCCAACTCACCGATCCTCCACCGTCTCCAAGTAATCCGCGACATAATCCACGGCGGCTTTGGCAAATTCCCTGAACTGCTGCGAGTCCATCTTTCACTTTCTCACAACACTTTCACGAAGCACTGAGATGCGGCGGAAACGCGAAGCGCTTTTATACCGGGTGCCCTTCGTTGAGTGGAGCGTGCCGTCTCCGAGATGATGCTTATATACGGGGGACTTTTTCAAAATTCAAGGTGCAGCGCGAAAAAATTCGATAGTATGCGCTGACCTTGACGCAGAGTTTTATGGCGTTCACCGGCTTTTTGCTGCGGTTTTTGCAAAAATAGTGACGATTTATAGAGATTGTGTTGCGCTTGACCAACTCGGATGCCGGAATTTAGTGCAAATTTAGTTTTATTAAAAAAAGTACCGAAGAAATGAGGAAAATATTCAAATATATCCAAGACGAAGCAAGTTTTATAGCTCGTACCTGTTACTAAGTTAAAAAAAGTATATTATTGTTTTTATTATCGCCCTCAATTAAAAGAACAACAAAATGAATAAAAACCGGCTGTGATACAAATGACCCAGAATTTATTTATTAAATTAACAACGAAAAAATTAAGCATTTATGACTTCAAATGCTTTGGCATTTGTTTTTGAACAGAACCCTTATTTAAAACACGTTATATCTTTTTAAGAGCTTAAAGGTTTCATTGCTAAAAAAATTATTTACGTACAACAACTTTCTCAAATCGTTTATTCCTCATATTCGGTCTCTGTTACAGTTTTCTCGTATTCAGTAAAATTAAAAGATATCTTATAAAATCTTGTTTCAGTTTTATCCTCTGATTCCAACCTCATTCTACACGTTTTAACACTTTTTAAGTTTTTTATCGGATGAATAGGCAATCTGTAAAAGTCTTCCGAAGTAACATCATCAAAAATAACATCACGTAGTGTAATAAAACAGTTCGGTTTATCAAGAATTACTCTATACTGAACCGTTTCTTCAATCACTTGTTTCATTTGATGAGTCTCCGAATTAAGAATCAACGTCATAATCCTTGTTCCAGTTGGAGTAACTAATAACAATAAAATGATTAAAAAAATCTCAAACAATATTTAAAAAATTACAAATTCTTTTTGACCAAAATTTCAACTCCTCTCCTCGCACGTAATTGAGTAACATTTTCTTCCGGGAGTTCCACAAGGGGGTGTTTATCATGGGTATTTTGAGGTACATTACCAAAGGACAATTTAAGTGGACGGAAGGTTTAGGTTTGCATCTACAAACCAAATGATCGTAATTATCCGGCAAGTTCAAATTCAATTCTTCGAAACATCCTGAGTGTATTTTTCCGGTTAAAGTCATTTTTATCCCCCAATCACCCACCTCCGGATTCGTGAAGTAAAACCACAAGTCTCTTGGACCGATTTGATGGCAACAAATAAGAGGCGATGACGTACACTTCCCATCTTCATCAAACTGACACATTTCATCTGGAATAACAAATTCTTTGACCGTTTTCAATTGCTTGATTTCTTCCCAAGGGAATAAAGCATTTTTTTCTTTGCTGACTGGTTGGTAGCCAAATAAAAGTTCATAATCCGTTTTGATTTTAAATGGTGATTGTGTGCTCAAAGTGACTTTACAAGGTTGGTATAAATTCACAGTTAGAGGAATTTCCATGCAAACGGACGACACATCAGCTTCACCCACAACTGTAACAGCAACACTTTTCCCATATTTATTTCCTGGAGTTTCCCCAGAAAACAATAGGGTGGTGGCTGTGTTTAATACACTTTTGGCATGATAGCGAATTTTGACAGTTTTCTTTTCGCCTGGTTGGAGTCTAAGGAGTTCAACATTCGTCGAAAATAAACGGTTCGGGTTTTCAAAAAATACAACATGGTAGACAATATCGTCGTCACCCGCGTTTTCAACTTCAATTGAAGCCGAACCGCCTTGGGTCAACGGTGCTGAAATCGTAATTACTTCTTTGGGGTAATAATTCGGCAAAACTACATATAAATAATTGGCTAAAAGTAACATTTCAACCATACCACAATGTTGGAGCGTAAGAGGCGAAATAACATAACTCAATTTAAGCTTTTTCCAAGCTTTAACTAGAACGCAAGTATTGTGATGGACTTCTTCCGGATTGTATGGCCTCGTGTACATATCATTAATCAAAGATTTGATATAAGGACAATAATACGCAGTTACAGCCCCTAAAACAAGACCATCCCGCAAATCTATATCTAGGAACAGAAGTTCTTTAGGGTCTGGTGGTGCATTCGGCCATAAATTTTTTTTTTCCTCATCGTAACATTTTTGAAGCCAGCAAATCAATTCCTTTTCGTGAGGACCGTAAATCCCCACGTCTAGAACATATTCTCCCTTGTCTTCAGTCGATTGACGTGAAAACTGTGTCAACGATTGTTTATCTTTAAATCTGAAATCTGATTCCGAGCTCTCGCTGTCACTAAATGGTAATTCCACGGTACGAAACAAAAATAACGTTTTGATAATTTGAAGGATTAGATCGATCCAACATTGTTTCGATCGACGATTGAAAATTTTTTCATCCATTCGAGTCCGTTCTGGGTGTTTGGTACTCTCATATTGGATATACTGGTCATAATTAAGAAGTAGTTTAGAAGAGACGTGTGGCAAATGAACGGGAAAACCTCGAAGGTAGTGCAAAATATTTGAATTTGTTCTGTAAGTATAGACTAGCCATTGCATGTCCGTGTTTTCGGTAGGAAATTTAGCAGAGAGTCGTTGTTTAACTTCTTGACCACAAACATTACCAATGAGTTGTAATAAAGGAAGTACGATTATCTTTGTTCTTTTTATTCCCCCAAATCTTGCTTTTTTCCGACCTGCGTCGACTTTACAAAAATCAGAAAAACCATCCGGAATTTTATAATAACACTTCAAGTGAAACACCTGACTGAAAAGCCAATTTTCGAGAGTTTTTTGCAACTTTCTCATATAGTCTGCATAATCAGATTTTTCGTCATCGCTGGGGAAAAGTGGATAAGAAGTAACGTTTTTATTAGTCAACATGTCGATATACTCCGGTCTTAAATATGTGGTCGATGATTTACTAGAATATTGCTTTAAACAAAAATAACGAAATTCTAATAATTAAACTCACCAAATTTGAACTTCCGTCAGTACTTCCTGATTTTTTCAACATGTGAGAATAAGCATGAGTCGTCAAAAGATTATTTTCGGTAACTCCAGTCACAGTGATCTCACATCTTGAATTACAAGTGCAAAAGAAAACCAATTTCGAATTAAAACAAGTCTCTTTTGTACAATCATAAACAAGGTTGACTGGTAAAACCGATTCGCCTTTTTCTGGAGTCCTCCCTTTTTCGAACATGGTATGCAATCCGATTATTTCTGTGTCACTAGTAACTTCACAGTTTTCAAAATGGTTGTTCATGTGCAACTTTAAACGAAATTCACTAACTAACTTCACAGGAACCGGTTCTAAATCAATGCAGTCAATAGACGAAGTAATGGTTGGAATATCATAAACTCCTTTCAAAGTCAAATAATTAAAAATCTTATCATCGAAATAATTTCGAAGAAAAAGTGGAAGTTTGACCACGTATTCGCCAACATCGGACGGAAAAAACTGAGCCAAAAATGTTACTTTTTCACCGGGTTCTAAGACGATTTTATAAGAGATTCCATAATATTCTACGACTGAACTATTCTTTGGTTGCAGCGAAAAAGGGTRGTCGAGATCGTCAAGACGAATACAGACCGCAGCAATGTCATCACTAGTGTTAGTAATTTCAAAATCAGTACTTGTGACGTTATTGTAGTGATCTTCATCAAAGTATACAAAGTTAATACTGAGRCTTGAAAATTCCAAAGTTTTGTCAATAGCACAGGACGTAATCCGTACCAAAGGTAAGACTTTGGGATACCGCGTCAAAATATTYATACTATAGTTATTTTCATACTTTGCAGTAAAGTCTTTCAGGAAAAAATTTGTATTAGCCGTTGCATTGCTATTAATATTAACAGGTCCAAGAATACCATTAATTTTGTATGGCAAGAAAAGAGAATAAGTGCTGATATAGTTTGGATGGAAGTGTAAATATAAAACTTTGCCTTGACTTGCTTGTAACACAACCTTGTCAATATGAGGAAACTGTTCATTTTCATTATCAGTCACAGTAAATTCYGGAAATTCATCACACGGGAACGTCAAGTAGTTAGTAGTCTTGGACAAATTCTGGACGACGAAAGCCAAAGTATCAAAACCAAAGGGTGCAATTTTTCGGAAATACATAATATCCGGATTGAAACTAAACTTCGGAAAGTCCACACTTCCCTTAAACACAATCGGAACTTCATCATGCTCCCCAATATGAAATATAATCTCAGTTGAGAACTCCACAACCGCATTGATAAGAACTGTGATAATAAACACTTGACTAGCTAACCCGTCTAATATACCACCTTGTGGCTCAATTGTGACCCCGGGTACTGGAATCCCACCCGGAATGCTATATAATGTCTGGATATTTTTCAAGTTTTTCAAAATTAGTTTTCTCCTGACTGGAACATTCAAAGAAATCAAACCGATATCAATTTCATATGTGTCAAACACAACTGCGTATTTGCGCTTCTTATAAGACACTTGGAGGATACGTTTTTGTCCACTTTCCGACGTTAAAACACACTCACTGGCATTTTCTTCGGTCACATCTGGAGTGTATGTTATCATGCAAATGATGTAACTTTCGGCTTTGATTCCTCCAAACGAAGGGTAGATTTTAAAACAGCTCTCAGGTACTTCCCAGTCAAAGCTTGTAAAAGTGTTAAGACCATTCATCAATTTAAAAAACTTGTAATGACCGTCGTATTCATAAAAGTCGATATGATTTGGCTCCAATTTTAATGTTTTTGGAACGACTTGAGCCACGGCTGTCACCTCATATAAGGTACTATCGTTCACCAAAACATTAATATTGACATAGTACCGTCCAATACTGCAAGTACTGAACGTGAAAGGAATTTTCTTCTTCTCACAACTTTGAATAATATGCCTCGCGTTATTTTCAAAAACTATACAAGACTTGTTGGCTTGAAGGAACACTCGAATTGGAAAAGTATTCAAGTTTTCGATTTGGAAATGATCGGTGATTGTTGTAAAAGCTGCGACTTTGCGAAGTTTAATTGATTTTGGTATAATTTTGATGTTATATAAAAGTCGTGGAAGAAGGGGGATAAAGGGAGTGTATGAAATGATTTTTTTGGGTCTAGGTTCAGGATCTTGACATTTGACATTTTGACGCAATAAAAGTTTGTACTTGGTGAGGGCGTAGTCTCTCAAATCTTCATTTTCGGRGGGTGGAGGCTTGCACAAAGTTCGGATGTAGTCGATGTAGAATTTTTCGTTTTCAAGTTTTATGGCCATTTCTTTAGGACTTAAGCGATAGGGGAAGTCAGGTGCGAGTCTACATAATTTCCATAATGATAAATTCATCAATTGTTAACACTTACTTGTCTGCTAAATCGTGATAAGCCACACATTCCATGCACTGCCCCAAAGTTTCCTTCTTTTCCATATTTTTAATATCCATATATATTCTAAAAATCGCTATTCCGACTTTCCTCATCACGTGTTTATCATCAGGAGCAGCTTTACTCAACAAATCAAAAGTGACTTTTTTAGTAACTTGACCCAACTTTAAAGCCCTAATTATTAGAAGAACTTCAAGACTTCCATCTGGTGCCAGATCAAACTGATTTGGTCTAATATCAATCGACACAATTTTATTATATTTAACTCTGATTGGTAGATGCGATGACTGGTTTTGTATGAATAAAACACGATGATACTCTTTCTCTAATGTTAACTCATTCAAAGTGATAAAAGTTGGTCTTAGAGTGACCCCTGCACGTTCTTTCTCCCCATGAATGCAAACACCTATCGAATGTTCAAAACTCAATGTTTCTGAAGCTAGTTCGTCATCATAGGCGATACTAGAGTAACTGCCATTAGGATCTTCAATAAGAATATCATTCGTAGTTAAAGCAATTGAACTTTCTGTTAAAGTAGCGTAGCTTGTTGAGTTGTTTCTGTGTGTAATTTCATTATGACCAACGTCTCTACAGTCCATTCTAATGATTTTTAAAAAACCAGCAGAATAATTCTTCTCTCTTTTTCGCGACACCACAGGAGCAAATCTAAGAATTTAGTTTTTTCATTGATTCAAGTAGATTTCTCCTAATTTACGTAATTTGTAACACAGCGCCTCGTAAAGCGGCCAAACGTCCGTCAACCGGCTTTATGAGAAAATTCTGATAGTTATCGTCGATTTTTCTTGCTTCGTCCAGTGTCTGCAATTTACGTACTACTAATTGCCGTCATTAATATTAACGRGATGTAAAACAGTACACACGCATATCAAATTCTTGGATAATTAGAGTTTTGATTGGTTTAGTGTAGGGCAGGGCAAGTACCAGCCTACGAGCCACGTGACTTACCATTGTAGTACCCTTGATTTCGGCCATGACGCAGAACATGGAATGAGATGAACTGAAATTTTTGATGAGAAGTGGTTGAGTCGAAGAAGAGCCGTAATATGTCGGTGGAAAGTCGACCAAAGTAAAGTCAAGACTGTTAATAAACTTCCGAACGAGAAGTTTTGGCGAAATAAAGGTTCCGGAAATTACGACTCGTTGTGGAGGGTTGGCTTTCACCCAAAACTCTTCCATAAATTCGCCTTCGCGCGAACCGACTACTTCCACGCTTATTTCAACTGAGGTTTTGGCCTAAGAAAGTTTTTTACTGATTGAAAAAAAAGTAAAGTGCTACCAACAGCCACGGTTCCTTTCATGGGTTCCACTGTAAGTTCCAAAGGATTTCGGCCCAAGTCTATGGCAAACTGAGTATCTCTATATCCGGAGTTTATAATAAAAAAAGAGCGAGTCGTGGCGTGATTTACAGCATCTATGCGGCCAAAATCTAACAGTTTGGGTTCTATAGTAAGAACGGCACAAGACAATGTCCTACATCAATAGTACTAACTTAAGTATTACTGGTACTCAAGTTCTTACACAACGAAATAATAATCCACTTCTTTGTCGTTAACACAAATTGTGACAAAACCACGCTTCACTCCTAAAGTGGCCTTGTAGGTGAATTTAACTGTTCTTACGATTCTCATTCCAGGGCTTAAGTACAGACCTCTAGGAAATGATTTGAATTCAAAAGTCTACAAAATGTAGCACAAAATTTTTATTTTTTGGAAAATGTATTATAGCTACCTTAGAGTTGGGTTCACATAATCTAACAAAAACCAAATGTTTGCCGCAGTTTTGTATCACCATTTTGTTTTTATATCTTTTGCCTTCATAAGCATTGTCGAAATGCATACAAGGTGGAGTTATTCTCACATCGTTAACCTCTAATCTGGTTGGCAAACTGTCAATATCAAATTCGATGTCGATACTTTTATGTGATTTAGAATTGATACTGATTGATGATGATGATGATGGTTCCTGAAAAATTTCCACCGACATTGTAACTTGTTAAAAATGACTTTTWATGACTGTCACATGTCTGGCTTTCCAAATGTGACATTTTTTTGCTTCTCTCTAGATCGAAATAAAAAATATCTCATTTTATTGAAAATCTAAATCCATACATTTAGTTGTAGTCTCTTTTCACCTAAATAAGTTCTAAGAAAAAGTGGAGACTAACTGCAAATTTGCTAAGCCAAAAATATGACTTTCCGCCCGGTTCTAGAATTCTATACRTTTTCGTAAAATTCCATGTTTGATTTTTGGTACAAGAAATAAATTAAGACAATGCATCCAAATTCTTACTCTGTTTCATTCCTTTTCATTGTTATATCTTGAGTTTTAATTTCATATTTTTATTTTATTTTATACTCTGGTAAATTAAGCTCCCCGGTTTCATTTTGAATCTGGGAAGTGAGCTATTATGGTATCAGAGCCGGTAAATGTAATCAAGCAACACTTATCGAGTTAGTGCTTTTGAAACAATAAAAGGTTTTTTTTTTTGGTAAATTTTCTTGAAACAGTAAGTATGAAACATTACAATACACATCCGGTAAGCTTCTTATTTCGATATTCAGGGCTCGCCTCCTCCTAGTCGTATTGTAATATTTGGCTGACCGGACTAGATATTTATTTATATTTCATTTTGCTGTTATTATTAACTATATTTCGCTCTTGCTCGCCCATTTTTCTTTCCGGTTTGTAATGTTGTTTGTTAATATTTCCCGCTCTTGTTCCTCGCGTCTCATTAATCATGTCTGCGTCTCGCCTCGACCCGGGGGACTCCCTCAGCGAGTGATTGATTGTAAAGTCACCGTGGCAAACTGATGATCCACCGCGCGTTCCTCCATCATAACTCCCTCGAGTCTCTCCAAATCTTCGCCGTTTGTAAAAATTTGCCATAGAAAAATCGCGTCTCCGTCCCATGTAGAATTAACAAGCGCTAGTGTGTGTAAACGAAGTAGGTTGAAACACGACGACGTAGCGTTTGAACGTCATGTAACACGACGACTAAGCGGTTGGCGATATCCTGGGGGAGGCCAACTCTCGGCGCTCTAATACAATTAGCTCGGCTATATGCTGTGCGTCAGGACGAGCGGCGTGTCCTTTATGTCGGATGTAGCTTTGTGGGTCCTTCGGGTGCAATGCTCGACGTAAACGAGAGACGACAACCGACGGTTTCTGGTCTCCAGGGATGGGAAGTGCCGCGATTAAAGCGCCCCGAGGACGAGGATTTCGATTGCTAATTGTAGGCGCATAGAAGGATTTACAAAATTTACACACGATAATTTATATTACAACACAAGTTTTATAAAGTTATTCCATGGCAATAGTTTCATAAATAAAAATAGCCTTGATTTTATTAATGCAAAATCAAAGAACTAACTTATTATTAGTATTGTTATTATTTGTGTGTTGGGGAAGGTGTAGCAGATGCATGCCGCCTTGGGGCTGTAATTTTTAATTATTAAATATTGAAATGGGTTGTCGAGGCGTGCGTCTGCGGGTTGCTGCTCTGTTTGCTAATTCGTTTAGCCAAACATCTCGACTCTTTTGAGGGGAACGACGTTTCAATTGAATTACGGACCCTCGGATACTTGACGCTCTGTATTATGCGACAATAAAAACATATTACGTTGGCCCAGAATAGACAGACAAATAACAATTAATAAGAAAAACACATAAGTAGAATGATGGAAGAAGAAAACCGCGAGAAAGGACAGCGCCTTGGCAATAACAATGAATTTAGATTGTTTCAACACTGATTGGACGGCCAAGGCTGAGGCTTTTAGTGACGGCTGCTGTACTTCCCTGTCAGGAATTTCAACTAAAGGGGAAATGAGCGAATTTTGAGCCAAAACCAAAATGTTGCCAGAAAATAATCCAAAAAGTCACCATGTAATGAATGATCTCAAATGGTCTTTGACATAACTCTGTATATCTGAAATATCTATTTAATAGTTATATCTACTAATTTTTTCTGTAGTTTAAATTTAAATCAATAAAATATAACTACTTAAATTTCTGTAATGAAGTAGGTAACAACAAAATATTGATAATTGATTAGGGCTAAGTGTGGTTGTCGTCCGTGAAAGGATTATAAAGTAACAATGCAGGTGGAATTAGAAGCACGCAGAGGGAAACCAGCCCTACATGCTACAAAGATTAACTCTATTGAGTTTAATGAAAGGAAATTGCTCTTTTACGAACTTTATCTTATTCCAATTTGTTGTGCATTACGATTTTTGATGAGTCGAAATCCCTCGAGGAAATCGTTAGGTTTCAATTTTTTAATTAATAATAAGAATGCTGAGTAATTGATGTAGAATCGAAAAGTGAAAATTCCTAGAAATCCGTCATCTATTTAGTGCGTGTGAAGGCTGAAATTAATCATCTCAAAGGAACACAATCGCTCGTACAGGCGACAATTAGCATAGTGAAAGTTCTTCGTTCTACATAAACATTCAATTAAAATAAAGCAGCTCATTATTACGATTTGTAAAAATCTCGTTGCGCTGTTTAGTTATTAATAAATTAACGCCAATATCAAGGTCAGTTGCAACAATGCAATTGTTTAAACTAATTATCCCCCCCCCCCTTATACAATGCTGAATTCCCTGCTGCACTTAACGAGTCAGCAGGACAAGTTTATCGAATAAACAATAAATAAATCAAGCAGCGGGTTGTCCCGCGCGCCCCCTTTTCCGACACTCCGGGGGTCAAAACATCATCCATTTTTGACTCGAAGAAAATTTCGAATTATTGCCATATATCGATTGTTTTTTCCGGCCGGTGCTTGGGGATTTTTCATGACATGTCGATGTTAACGTGTTGCTATGACGACGCCGCCCCATTGCTGCCAACCACACCCAGAAATATTAAACACCATCGAGCTTCTCGGTGTGCTTTTGTGATACCGGACATTTTTCAGATGTTCAAGACGATTTGTCGTTTTTTAGTTTGCATTTTGGTGAGACGATGAAAGACGAAGCGATCGATGAAGGGAAATGCGCAATTTGAAAGTTTCGGACTGAAATATACCTTTGAAGAGGGGGTGAAATAGGGGAAACACGTTTTCAGGTTTCACGAATTGTGCACGAGAAGATAGAAAATTTTGTTTTTATCAAAACAGAATAACTTTTCTTAGGTATCAAGTGTTTCAAATTGATTAAAATATCTAAGCAAATAATTCTATTTACTTGTTTATGTTCTGGGGATAATTATGTAATAATGTAATAATAATTTTTACATTATGTTTGTAACAGCTATATTATCTCATTAAATTTCAAGTAGGAAATGTTTTAATACGACTTAAGCATTTTCGTTTGATTTAGACCACACTAACAAATTCAAAATTCGATAACTAAACAAAACATGTACCTATCAATAATAAAAAATTAAAAATCTATAAGTACCCCWAAAGAAGTATGCATAAATTTCCCCATATCAAAAATGAAACGTCTTTGTTATTTACGTATAACGAGAGTAAAACTGTTGCTTAATTTCCAGATTAACAAACATACAAATACAATAAAATCAAAGCTATTTTTAATATTTGATATCTAGACAAAACAAATGTCGTGTTATCACTCAGACTAAAAAATCGAAATAAAATTTTCCTCTCAACTAATTAGCCTTATTATTTTAGCTGCATTTGACGGCCATATTCTCAAACTTTTTATATTCTGTCAAGTGTCTGGTATGCGTTTATACAAATGATAATCACTTTTTACAGTACCATCTCGTATACGTATAACAATAGTTATTTATTCGAAGAGTGTGAGTGTAAATCAGACGGTTTATTTTACCGAGTGGATTTTTAAACCACGAGTGTAACGAGTGGTTTACCATATACGAGGTGGAATAAAGCGACCGATTTACACTCAAACGAGTTGAATACAACATTTTATTCTTCGAATTAGACTCAACTAGGCTTAAACGTGCTTTAAATTTGTTAAAAGTAATTTGACGTTTCGTATTGAGAAATGCCAAACAGTTGTCAAAACCTTCTTACACGGGAGAAAAACCATAAATTTTGACAGTGTCGAAGAATAAAATATTTTAAAAGTTACTGAATAAACCCATAAATTTTGTGGTAAAAAAAATAAATATACAAGTTCTGAAAAAATTATAATCCGATAAGAAGCAAAACGGATGTAATACTAATAATAAATTTAATCTTTGTTTGTAATCAGATACAATTATTATCTCAAAATTC